AAATCATCATCACCTGAAATTCCAATAAACAAGAACTCCAATAAGCTAAAACAACCCGAAGTATATTTCCAAACAGTGTAAGCAGAAATCAGACATATTCTCACAACAAATCTTTTTTTTTCCATCTCAAGAACAATCAATCATACAGAATTGGTAAAATTCCGTTATTTTTACAAAATTTAAAAGCGTCCATCTTTGATTCAAACACTCAAGGATCCAAATTACAATCCTCACAATTCACAACACATATTCACATAACGAATGATTCCTACATCCTTTATCTTCAATTTTTCTTGTTCAAAGCTAAAACCAGCTAAAACAAACCACACCATGGCTTAAAACGAACCTTGGGTACCAAAAAGTGATCTCCATATCTAGAAATTAAAAGCCATAAATACGAATAATAAGAAGCTTACCGGCGTAATTAACAAGAGCAGGCATGGTTGAATCCCAAATAAGAAGCCTCCAACCCCAAAACGCAACACCCAGCAAGAGAAAACGCTAGAAAAACGCAGACCAAGTTAGCCCTTGAAAGCTTGAATTGTATCAGAAGAATGAATTCTTAAACCCCGCTAAAGTAGGGCAAAAAGGAATAAGACGAAGAAGAAGATTGAAAGAGAAGTTTTTGTGTTTAGCTGAAGGGAAAAAAACAGGACACAAGTGGTATTTATTTGGTTGAAAGAAGAAGGTGTCAGTGTGAAGAAATTTCCAATTTTTTATTATTTTAATTTTATGTTTTTTTGTTTCAGATTCATTAACTGACAACCCTTGCTACATGCAATGCATCTTCCCTGGGAACTTTTCTTTTCTCGGCCAACCATACATTATAATATATTAAATTTTATATAATCTAAAATATTTTAAAGGACAAAGTTTTGTTTAATTCCTTAATTTCACTATTTCACTCACATCAATCCTAATTTTTTTTTCATCTATATCAGTTATTGAATTTTTATTTTCACTTTCGCCATTAAATTAAAAATAAATAAAAATAACTTATTTTAATTAATAAATAGATGTATTAACTAACTAAAAATTAACAAAATGACCCAATCACGAAATCTAGCTTAGTACTCTTACGATTTTCTTGTAAAGTTTATTCAACTTTTCTTGCCTTTGAAATAAAGAAATCCCCAATGTTGCCTCTTAATTAACATTAAATTGAATTTTGGACGGTGTATAAGTAATTATTTTTAGGCCTACTATGCAAGAGAAACATGCAAGATTCTAGGGTTTTCCCTTAGCATATTGATTGATGAAATAATAAAATAGGAGTTCTTTGAATCATGGTATATATTTTAAATTAATCTTTAAATTTAAAATATTTTATATTGGTTTCTAAATTATGACCATCTAAATTAGTGTTTAAATTTTAAAATGTTTTATATCAACCATCAAGTTATTAGTATCATTTTATTTTGATCATTTTGGACGGTGTATAAGTAATTATTTTTAGGCCTACTATGCAAGAGAAACATGCAAGATTCTAGGGTTTTCCCTTCTAAATTATGACCATCTAAATTAGTGTTTAAATTTTAAAATGTTTTATATCAACCATCAAGTTATTAGTATCATTTTATTTTGATCATTTCATTAACGAGTTATTAACTCTAACGATTAAAAATAATTTATTTTGAAATTTATGATAGTTGAGCCTGTGATCTAAAAAATTCATTGAACCTTCAAAAACAAATTGTCGTCCGGCTGCTCTTGCTAAAATCATTACTCTTCATTCTCCCGTCTTTAAAGATGTATTAAATTATTTCAGAACGACGCACGTTCAATTTTCAAGAACTTAAAAAATAATAGAGCTCACGAGTTTATGGATTAGTTTAGAATAAGACTATAATTTGAAGACTGATATAAAATATTTTAGTGTTTAAGAACCAATTTAAAATGAGAATATAGTTTGGGGAACTCTGTACAGTTAACTCATTGAAGATTAGGTTGGTATATTATGTGTGGTTTAAATTTACCCTAAACTAATCAACTTTTTTTCTTCTTCTGAAGGATACACTTATTAATTGGTTGGATTAATGGGAAATTACCAAAATGATTACTTTCAAAGCTGATTAAAATAGAAAGAAGGAAAAGAATTAATGAACAAGTTGGACAAGTGGGTGATTTTATTATCTTTAATTATTGTATACACTTATGACTAATAATGGGGCTGCTCTCTACGATTTGATTATGCCTTGGATAAAAGCTAATCATTCTTATCAAGTAAATTTTATTATTACCATTTACCTACTGGCGTTTGGACTTTGATTCAACTTGGTAGGTTAAACTACACCGTCCATTGAATTTTAAAACATTTTAATATAAATACAGAATTTTGGTTTTGGATCTAAGACATTGAGTTGTTAAATCGTTAACATTTTAACGAGGTGATCGTTTTTTTCCTGTTTTTTTAATAGAAAAGTATTACCTCTTTTGACCGTCTTTGTTAGTCGACTATTTCGTATCACCGATCATCATTCATGACAAGGTTACTATCAAAACATTCATATTTCATTCTTTTTTCTTACGCTCAAAATGATTTTTCACTAAACCAAATCAAAATTGATGAAAAACAATCTAAAGATTTAGTACTTTAGTGCTATGGTCTCCTATAACGATCGTTTAATGATACTAGTTTTCGAAGCATGTTGTTTGTCTTTCAAACAAACAATTCTAGACCCTTCATATAAGAGAAAGCCACCAAAACCCTTAAAAATGTTAGATTTATATATATAATTTCATGAGTTCTGAAGAAGTTTAAAAAAAAACTAAACGAATAAAGTGATCTGAAAGGATAAAGTGGTAGATGACGATTAGATGAGTTTATCAATGTTTAAATTGATCGCGAAAACATCGAAGAATAGTGATTTTTACGACAACTGAAAATAAATGAAAATTTTTGACGAAGATGGTGTAGAATAAATAAACAAAATAACTTCTACTTTAACATCAAAGCTACCACATGATTCACATCATCGCGTCGTTTCAAAATTATGGCCCAATGTTTAAATTGAACTTAAAACCAAACTTTAATGTATATATTAAATTATTTTGAAGTTTAATGTTAAAATCAATACAAACTCAGAATCCTAGTGACTAAGGTGTGTAGTTTTTATCTTAAGAATAAACTAAGAATTTTATGAGAAGATTAAGGAATTATTTTATTTAATCCTGTTTTTAGGCACTAATTGAGGCCGGTCGAGGAGACCAGGTGAATTTAACAATGGCTAATTGAATTAATCAAAAAAATGATTTATCAAAAACTATTGTTCATCAACCACTTGACAAAATTGAAGCCCATGTCTCATGAATTAACTGTATTCTACACATACATACATCATACACGGATCTATATGTTCACATAAAAACAAACTATTACGTAATAATTTTTTTATCCATATTTTCACTGTCATTTTTTTTTATAATTTATTATTCAACTTATTAATGTGTCATTATCGAAAAGAGACTAAGATATTAATTCTACATTGAAGAGGAGAAAAGTTGTAGATTTAAAAACAGTGATGATATATATTTTATTATAAAATATTTTTTGAGAAGAGAAAATAATTTTATGATAATGATATTACAAAATCAGTAACAATGTTGAAGTTCTGCTTAAGCTGCCACAAAATTGGACAACATCGATCAATGAATTTAGGCCCAGTCTTTGAGCTGAATTTAATCGACGGTCCAAATTGTCGAACATTGAACTCACCCAAGAATGATAGAAGAATAATAATATACAAAATTAAGAAGCAAATGGTTGAAGAGGGGGGCCATTCAGAGAAAAATGCTAGTGCTTTTGGGTTCTCATGTCTTAGACAAAATGAAAAGTATGTACATTGAATTTGAATACCCTTTTCCTTTAATTTAATATCATCTCTATGTCGGTCCAACCTATGGCCGGAATGTCAATTTTAAAGACATTTCTTGAAATAAGTCAAAATCATTTAATTAAAATATAAATAATCAATTATGTTTTGCAAATTAAGTAATAAAGTATTATATTTAAATAAAATTTCATTTAAATTTCGTAAATTAAATAAATAATACTAAAAATATATTTTATTTATAAATTTAATTTGATTCAATTCTATATATAATCATAAACATTATATAAGTTTTTTTAAAAAAAAGGAAAAGTTTTCTTTTTATGGACTTACAAAGTACAAAAAGGCAACGGCAGTACTCAATTTTCCTCGTTTTTTTCTATGAGCATATAGATGGATAAACACGGCGGCAGTTGGTGATATGGATGACGGCTGACGCGTCTGTTAATTTATTGGGTAAAGTATACTAGGGGTTCATGTATTATATTCAAACGATCTTTTTGCCTATTAACTTTTCAAATATTATAAAATACTCATTAAATGTTATCACATTATTACAAAATAATCATTAAATTCTACCAAATTATTACAAAATAGTCATTATAATTATTAAGCTAATACAAAACACTCCTAAAATTTATCATTCTTTTATATTATACAATGATAATTTTGTAACCTCAATAAATTTATTAACTAAAAAATTATTTCAATATGATTTAATGATCTTCACCGTGGGTATATGTTACAAGCCCAAATTCCAACACTGCTAATCCAATCGGCCAACCTATGTGAACAGTTGATTTTGGACAGAAATCAAAGGATGGAGAGAGATGCATGAATGGCCCTGCAGTTGAAGTAAAAGAAATAAAAATGCATTGAATTTGAATACAATTTTGGGGGCATGCATCTGTGGACATGCATATTGTTTATCTTAATTACTCTTCCACTTTACTAGGTATAAAGATGTTGGCAAATCGCATTTCTCAAACATACTGATGACTAAAAAAAACACATGAATGCATTATGGTCAAATGAACCTGTTGAAGACACACCTATGCAATCAATCTAAATTTAAAATAAATAATAACATACTATTACAAAGATTTAAAAAATATATTTTATCAGTTAAGAAATTGTTTAAATACCCTTTTTATACTTTCAATAATATGAGGCAGCTCTTTGTTCTTATTGGGGTGTGCCCATAAATGCATGCTGACGCATCAAAAGAGTCCAAGGGCCCTGCCCTTTCAACATTTATCTGTGTTCCAACAGCTATTTTAGGAATGCAACATTGCATACTGGCGCAACAAAATACCAAACACGGCTCCAAATGTATCATCACCATTCATTAATATAATTTCAATTGAAAAAAAAGAATTCATAGCTCTGACTGGCTGCATCGATCGAAGATCAACTCGACAACTGTAATATATTCGCTTCTTGTGGTACCCCTAATTACCTCGTTTGAATATGAGAGATGCCAGATTAGCCCTCCACCCAATAATCAACGAAGACTGTGCTTGCGTTTTAGGAAGAAGGGAAGCTAGTCCCGGCCGCATGCTGTAACCTGGCACAATTGGATGCTTCACATTCGTCTCTGCCATCCTGGAAAAGGTTCAACAAGCACATTACCAAATCACGAAAGCATTGCTTAATTCAAAGTATGCACTCTTCCAACGACGACTCACTAAACAAACACGTGTGCAGACTAGGAAAGGAACCAAGGCATAGAAGTATGAAAGTGTATCATCACGCACATTGTACATCAATAATACAAACTAGTGTGACAGAAGGAAAGGAAACAAAGTATAGAAGTATGAAAAGTTCCTAAATCTTTAAATGAGAATAAAGAAATGAAGAGATTGTAGAACTCAAATCAAAGACTTCAACAACTTATAATTTTATGACATGAAAGCAGGTCATGGGGACAGAAAACTAAAGATGATAACCGTCTAGAAGTTGCAATTAACCCTAAAGATTTCAAAAAAGTTTGATGAGTTTTTATTGCAGTCAATAATGTGTAAAAGTATAAAATCAGTCACCATGATAGGCAAACTAGTGCAAGGAGCTAAATCTATATGCAGTAAAGATTACTGCAAAAATTTTGTGCTTTAAAAGAGTAAGCATGACAGGAAAATATCAGTTAGAGAAACAGGTCCTTATTAGCCCAAATCATAATGCTACCAATTCTCTAAGCATCAATAATCTCTGGTACAATCAAAGATTCAGTATGATTAAAGATGACACTTGAAACCTCTCTAAATGTAAAAGAATTAAGAAAGGCAGAACTTTTTTTCTCTGTTGTCTTCTTAGAATGTCAACACCCCACAGTCGACTTAACGAGAAGCTAAAGGGCTTTAAATCAACTAACCAGTGTAAAGATAAAGGTAGTGAACCCTACCTTCTTCAAAAAAAAAAGCATCAGTTCCCTTAGGTGTGCTTAAAACAAGGAAATAATATGTACTTAGCACAGTACTCGGGGAATATTTAGGACAGGATGGTCAAGGAAATGCATGCCGCTCAGAGCGCAAAAGATTAGAAGAAGAATTTTGTAGTAAAAACATTCCCTTGCACAAGCATGTACCGATACTTAATTAAGGATTATGAAATCATATTTAAAGAAAAAAATCATAACAAACTATAGGTAATATATTAGCCTAAATTTCCAAAAACAAGTAAATTATGCGTATCTACAGAATAGTTGCCATTAACGAGTCCAAACTAAGCTGCCGATAAATTCATACCGGAAATAAGCTAACAAAAACAAACAAAAGATAAAGCAACCGTACAAGAGAGAGAGACATACGTGGGAGGCACCGTGCCTTCAGAAGCAAATGTGGAAATGCCTTGTCGTTGCTTGTGTTTAGGGTTGGAAGTGCATAGTACATATACACGTCCGCGGCGCTTAACGGTTCTGCAGAACTCGCACATCTTCTTCACAGATGCTCGCACCTTCATACTTAACACTGCCTAATCCAAATATCATCAAACAAGCCAAATCATATATAACAATAGCATAATCACAAAGGAATAACTATAAGTAAGAAATGAATCAATGAAGTGGAGATTAGCATAAAAGTATACTATGAGTTACTTTTTCACAAATCAAACAAAAATGAAGAACCCTTGACAAGATAAATCAAACAAAAATGTAACAGAGTGATGCAGAGAGCAGGTAACACAAACCGAGCAATAACTCAAAATCCCATGGCTCAAGTAGAAACCAATCTTCAAATTAAGTTTGGGTTTCAGAAATTACCTAATCTAGTTTCTTGATCTGCCCGAAACTTGAAAAAACCAGAGAGCGGTGGTGAGAGGCTTGTCTAGCGGCGGTGACGTGTGAAGAAAGACGAGACTTGTGGTGGGCCGGGAAGTTTTAAAGTAAACTTTGCTTCCAACCTGAGCAGCATTGGGTTCGAATCCTGCGTTTAAAAATAGAGGTAATTGGGTCCAAATGTCTGGCCTGCAATGAGTATTTATATTCGATATGTATTAGGGTCAGATTTGAGACATGGGAGTTGAGTCGATCGAAAATCCAACTCACTCAACATGTAACAGTGATTTTTTTAAAATTTAATTTTACTAAAAAATTAATTGAGATGTTGGTCCTGAATTACTTAATACCGATTATTTTTATTTTGAGTTCTCATTATGGATTATCATTCAGTCTTTGCAAAACTTTTGTTTTCAACTTTCTCATTACGATTTTTTTTAGATATAAATATATAGTATTATATTTTTCTTTTTTGAAAGAATTTTTCGTTAAATATCTTTGCTTTTCGTATATTTAGAATTCCCCTCAAAGTGGTTATATCTTCTTATATTTAAAATTTTCCGGATATTATCAACAATAAATTGGTTTAGTAGGATGAGACACTAAGTTCCTTAAGCAACGTCAGTGGTTTGAATCATGACGTTTTTGAATAGAGCAAATTGGGTTGAGATTGTCTCCCTCGTCTCTGTAGTACCTGATCTAGATTAGTCGGTCAATAAATATTAGTGATTAATTTAAAAAAAATTATCCTGATATTATTTTTTCTCACCTCTTAATTCTTTCATAATGTATATCCTGATGCATTAATGATATTTACATATTGACAGAAGATATAACCGTAAATAACTATAAAAATTATTCATGTATCTCCCTAAATATTTTGTCCCCTAAACAAGCAATTTTTTTTAATAAAAATGTTTATTACAATTATTATTAAATTGTTAAATTAATATTTATTATATAATTATTACATGTATAATGAATATGCAACTACTTTAAAAAATAATCTAACAAATAAAGAAAATACATCTCTCCTTTTCCAAAGGAATAAAACCCATAATATAATTTGATTTTGAAAAAACCCGACGGATATTCTCGGCCTCTCCCTCCGAATATTCTTCCCCTTTCCGTTATATTCCCCACATTTTACCTCCTCCAACTCCTCCTTCCCTCCCGTTTCTCTCATTTTCCCTCACTCTCTCTTTCATTTTCTTACCATCCAATCACTAATTTTAAGATTGAAAGCTTAGATTTATTGCCATGAAATTTGGAAAGAGCCTCAGCAACCAAATCGAGGAGACGTTGCCTGACTGGCGGGACAAGTTCCTTTCTTATAAGGAGCTTAAGAAGAAACTGAAGCTTATTGAGCCTAAGTCCAATGAGAGGCCAAATAAACGGCTTAGATTGGATAAAAATTATGTCGATATTGTCGGTACCGGAGATAAAGTCGGCGAAGGCTACGGTATGTCGAAGGAGGAGTCCGATTTCATTGAGCTTTTGGAAGAGGAGCTCGAGAAATTCAACGCTTTTTTCATGGAGAAAGAGGAAGAATATATCATTAGATTGAAGGTAATTCTAACGCTGATTTGATTTCGATATGTTTTTATAACCGGGGGAGGGGGATTTACTTCTTGTTTCTAGTTTATTTCTCCAGTTTTCCCCGTAAACAAACATGATGTGAAATTAACTAACAGGAACTGGAACGCTGTCGTATACTTTAAATCAATATATCAAATTATTTTGGGTTGGGTTGCAGGAATTACAAGACAGTGTGACAAAGGCAAATGATTCCAATGAAGAAATGATAAAGATTAGGAAGGAGATAGTGGACTTCCATGGCGAGATGGTTTTGTTGGAGAATTATAGTGCCCTTAACTACACAGGTATTTCAACTTTCTTTTTTATTTAATCAACTCTTTTGTTTGTTTACTCAAAGATATTGATTGCCACTTGCTTTCTTTTAACGCTTTACATAGTTGATACCACTATTGTAGCTGGCTGCATAATCATTTAATCATGTATTTATTGCTTGTTTGAATCATTTTTTGCATCGTAATTGTGATTAAGCTATCATAAATCATAATCGCATAAAATTATTAGATATTATTCCAACTTGCAATCCATGCAGAAGAACCTGTAATTGCTAAAGAATTTAAGGTCCATTTATCTGGAATTACTTTATTCGTTCTATCTATTGATTTTTGCGTGTTCCTTCTGGCATCAACACTATCATTCTGCCGTTAACAACTTATCCACATACATTCTTTGATTCTTCAAAGTTAAATATTCTACTCTTAAATGGCCACCTTTCAATTTGTTCAAGAGCATTTCCTTGGGCATATGCAGCGGCCATTATATATATTACTTTTAAATATCCAATGGGTTAAAGTAGTGTGATCTAAATTCTTTTTGACCGGGTTCTTTATGGTTAGAAAACTCACTTAAAATAAAGATTAAAATGGGGCTCTGTGGGGGAGGAGAATTCAATCCATGCAATTTTTTTCTCTTTATGTGTTAATGAAAAATAGAAGACTTATTTTGAGTAGATTTGTAAAGTTCTTTTTAAATTAAAAATTCATCCCAATAAATAGATATTTTGGATTAAGATTTAGATGTAAATTGATTCAATCTTAAATCACATGCAAATTTTCTTGTATTTTTTCAACATAAATGAATCTTCTTCTTTTATACGTGTATTTTTTTTAAAAAAAAATCTCCACGTTAAATTTTTATACATGAGAGAGCCTTTTACCCTTTAAAATTTGTTTATATAAATTATTTATTGATTGGAATATATCATTAACACTCAGAGATTGAGTTATTCAGGGTATGAGAGAGTCTTTTGCCCATCAATTTTTCAATCTAATGGTAATTTTAATCATTATAAATTTAAATATTTATCGAATTAAACCTAGTGTCATTTAAATTTGGATTAAATTCTTCTAAAGTCTATTAACATTAAAATTAAATGATTTAACTCCTTTTATTGTGTGACCCGTCTCTGTTAACACTGAATGGTGGTGTGAACAGGAATGGTGAAAATATTGAAGAAGTATGAAAAAAGAACTGGTGCTTTAATCCGGTTGCCTTTCATTCAAAGGATATTGCAACAGCCGTTCTACACGACCGACTTAGTGTACAAGCTGGTTAAGGAATGTGAGGCGATTCTTGAGCATCTCTTCCCCAAGAATGAAAAACCTTCAACCGAAGCAGTGAGTTCGACATCTAGGACTGAAGATTTGGTGAGAATGCCCAAGGAGATACAGCACACGGAGAGCCTATACATGAAAAGCACTGTATCAGCATTGCGGGTGTTGAAGGAAATTCGGAGTGGAAGCTCCACCGTTAGCGTTTTCTCATTGCCTCCCCTGCAAATAACTGGACTGGACGACACATGGAACAAGATCTATGTTCTTGAACAAGCTGCCAAATGTCAGTATTAGGATAACTCTATGACTTTGCTCCTCTTCTTTAGTTTGCTGTAGACTGTAATTAGTTCAACTTTTGTTATCTTAAATTTTATCCCTATGATATTCCAAGATGTACACCTTTAAGTAAAGGTACATATAGATATAAAATTATGAGTATTAAGATCAATTACGAGATAAGAAATTATGATTACAAGAAAGGGAAGAAAAAGAAATGGGAACTTTATAGCGAACATGGAAGCTCTCGAGGCGCACGTTAGCTGGCCTAATGTGTTCTCCAATCTCCTCCTTCGATTCTAATTTCTCGTTGGGCTCTTTCTTTTTTGCGTTGTTGCTGGTTTTATTTTGATTTTTGCATGGATTCGAAGGCTCTTAAACTAGATTGGAGGAAGCTTTTTGTGGGGACGGAGGAGTAGTCCCTGGATTTCTTTCCCCCTGAGGTCCTGGATGGTACCACTACTGTTAAACCGCCTTTGACGGTGTTTGAGGAGGGTATTGCCGAATGGAACTCTGCGATTGTTGGCCAATTTATTGGTGCTGCTCCAAATTTTGAATCGATGCAATGGATTATTAACTCGCTCTGGGGGAAATCTTCGCCAGTAAAGGTAAGCTTAGCTGGTTCGAATCTTTATGTTTTCTCATTCATGAACGTTTATGTTAGGGACTGGGTGCTTGAGAATGGACCTTGGCATGTCCAGAATAAACCTCTGGTGCTGAGGAAATGGGAACCTTGTATGCAAAAACTTGATTTTGATCCCTCTGTTATGCCTGTTTGGTTCCATCTTTATAACGTCCCGTTGGAATTATACTCTAGGAAAGGTCTCAGTTACATTTCCAGTGCTTTAGGGAATCCACTGTATATGGATTCCATTACTGTTTCTAGGGAGAGACTGGAATATGCGAAGGTGTGTGTGGAGATCAATGCGGGGTCCGGGATTCCTGAAGAGGTAAATGTTGCCCTTAAGAATGGATCCTTGGCTACTATAAAGGTCTTTGTTCCGTGGTTACCAAAATCTTGCTCCTGTTGTAGAACTTTTGGGCACTTGGCAAATAGGTGTGTTGTGTCTCAGAAGGTGAAGCACGAGGTTAAAGTTTGGAGGGAAAAGGGCATCAGCTCCTCCGAGCTCTGTGATAAGGGAAAGATGGATTCAATTGTTATTCAGAGTTCATCTCCTGTGCTTTCCGATTTGCCTTTGGGCTCCTCAGGTAATGTTAGCTCTGCTCTTGGTGCTGGCGTTTCAAACCATGAGTTGTTGGTTGGTAATGTTATGGAAACCAATGTTTCAGCCTTACAAGAGTTGCCTGCTATTTCTCACCTTGTAGTTGTTGATGGCAGTATTGGGGTGGATGATTCTAATAAGGTGGAGTCTGCTTCTGTAGTGTGCAAGGAGGATCCAAAAATTGCATATGAGGGAGAATGTGTGGTGGCTGGTTCTGTTGGCCTTGATCACACTCTTCGCTCCTCCTTAGTTGAGGAAGTGGCTCTTAAGGTATTACAGGAGGATACATGTTCTGTGGGGGATTTCCCTACTTTAAAAGATTCTATGGCTTCAAATAAGAAGGCTAGAGGGAGGAAGAAAGGTAATACTGGTTCTTCTAGTAAATTTGAATCGCTAGCTGAGGGAGGTGTGCTTGATGGTCCGAGGAAGGCTCGGGTGGCCTCCTTAGGAATTGCTGCTTTGCTTAACAAAATCAAGTCTAAAAAGAGGGATCTTGTGGATAAAGCAAAAATTAGTGGTAATGTGGGGACTGGAAGTGGTGTAGGTCCTGCTGCAAACTGATGATAGTGAGTTTTTGGAATGTAAGAGGGATTAATAACCCTCTTAAGCAACATAAGGTGTTTAAAAGGCTAGTGGATTTGGGAGTTGATGTCGTTTGTCTCTTGGAAACCCGTATTAGAAGAATTAATTCTATGAAGTTTTACTCAGCTTACGCTGATGATTGGTATTTGGCAGGTAATTCTGATTTTGCGGAGGGGGGCAGAATTTGGATTCTATGGAGGAAACAGTGGTCCTTCTCTATTTTGAGTGCTAGTGATCAGTCTCTCTCCATTGCTGGCAATATTAATGGTTGTAGGACACTGATTACTGTTGTTTATGGCAGTAATAGTGGGATTGGCAGGAGAGGTTTATGGGATCATTTGAGGAGTTTGGAAAGCTTAGTTGGTTCTTCCCCCTGGGTGGTTGGAGGGGATTTTAATGTTGTTCTTAGTGTGGATGAGAGCTCTGATTTTGAGTCCTTGGGTGTGCACAGCTCCTCTGATATGGAAGATTTTCAAGACTATTTAGGAGATTTGGACCTGTTGGACCATCCTTTCCTTGGTCCCACTTTCACTTGGTCTAATAGGCAAGATGAGGGTTTTCTTGCTCGCAAGCTTGACAGGATTTTGGTTAATCCTGAATGACTAACTGCTCATCCCGATTCTTTTGCTGAATTCAAGGCACAGGGTGCTTCAGATCATTGCCTTGGTATGATCTGGACACAGAAGGATGCTTTGGCTAGGAGGCCTAAGCCTTTCAAGTTTTTTAACTGCTGGACTTCAAATGTTGGTTTTATGGGAGTTTTTAAGCTTTCTTGGTTGGAGCAGTGCGCGGGCAATCCTATGCAAAGGTTGTTTTCTAAATTGAAAAGACTTAAGCCTAGATTGAAGGAGCTAAATAAGGAGCATTTCTCTGACATTTCCAGTAGGGTGCTTAATAAAAGAGCAGAACTGGAGAGGATTCAACTGCTTAATCTCAGCTGCACTGATCAAAGAAGTATTGAGGAAGAGAGAAATATTCATGCTGAGCTAGTTTATTTGGAGATTGCTGAGTCTGAATTTTATAGGCAAATTGCAAAGGTGCACTGGTTAAGAGAGGGGGATCTTAACACTAAATTTTTCCATCAAAAGGTTGAGTCTAACAAGAAGAGGAATACTATCAAGGTTTTATTGTCTGGAAGTGGTCAGTATCTGGATTCATTTGATGATATAGCGAATGAGTTAGTGAACTTCTTCACTAACCTTATTGGGACTACTGATCCAATGGTAGAAAATTTTCCTATGGAGTGGCTCAAGGACTTATTGAACTACTCTCTGCCAGAAGGTGCTGGTGATATGCTCATCAAGGAGGTGGATGACAAGGAAATAAAAGAGACTTTGTTTAGGCAAGGTAATGGCAAGAGCCCTGGACCTGATGGTTTCTCCTCTTGGTTCTTTAAAGCAGCTTGGGATGTGGTTGGAAATGATTTTTTAGCTGCAGTAAGGTATTTCTTCCACTCTTCATCTCTGCTGCCAGCTTTCAATGCTACCTCTATTATATTAGTCCCTAAGTCTTTGAATGCTTGCATGGCAAAGGATTTTAGGCCAATTTCTTGCTGCTCTGTGGTATACAAAACAATTACTAGGATTATCACTACTAGGTTGGCTCTTATCTTTCCTAGTATGATTTCCCCTAGTCAATCTGCTTTTGTTAAAGGTAGGAATATTGTTGACAATACCTTGCTAGCCCAGGAGATAGTTAAAGGCTATTCTAGGAAAAGTCTCTCCCCTAGATGTGCCATAAAGATTAACTTACAGAAAGCATTTGATTCTGTAAATTGGGAGTTCCTAATGACTGTGCTTGAGGCTATGGGCATACCTGGGCAGTTTTGTGGTTGGATAAAAGCTCGTGTCACTACTCCTCAGTTTTTTGTCTCTTTAAATGGTAGTTTAGTGGGATTCTTTAAGGGTGCTAGAGGAGTTAGACAAGGGGATCCTCTATCCCCTTATCTTTTTGTACTGGTTATGAATGTCTTCTCCTCTTTACTGGATGTTGCTGCCAAAAGAGGTGTCTTTAAATACCACCCTAAGTGCAAGATGATCTCCCTCACACACCTTTGCTTTGCTGATGACTTGCTGGTTTTTTGCCATAGATCTTTTGATTCTGTGATGGGCGTTCTTAGTACATTAGAGACTTTCTACAAGCTTTCTGGCCTTAGACTCAATGCTATGAAAACTGAGCTTTATGCTTGTGGTGTATCTGACCTTGCCCTTGGGTAAATCAAGGCTGGAACAGGCTTTAGAGTTGGTAATCTCCCTGTTAGGTACCTTGGTGTACCCTTGGTTACCAGGAAGCTTACTAGTAAAGATTGTACTACTTTGGTAACTAAAATTAAGGAAAAATTGAGTAAATGGGCCAATAAGAGGCTGAGCTTTGGGGGTAGATTGCAGCTCATTAAATCTGTTCTATTTAGTATTTTTAGCTATTGGAGTAGACATCTTATCTTGCCTAAGGGAGTCATAAGGGATGTTGAGAAATTGTGCATGAGGTTCTTTTGGAAAGAGAGTGATTCCTCAGCTAGAGGGGCTCGGGTGAGCTGGAAACATATATGCTTATTAAAATCTGAGGGAGGCTTGGGTTTAAGGAGCTTGACAGATTGGAGCAAAGCATGTTGCTTACTGCTGATTAAGAAGATTTTGGCGGGGGAAGGTTCCCTTTGGATTGCTTGGGTGAACTCTTATTGCTTTAGATTAGTGGATTTCTGGCATGCTGATTACAGGGCTCACTTTAGCTGGATCTTAGCTAAAATGTTTAAGCTGAGGAGTGAAGCTAGCAGTCTGTTCTGTTTTATTAGTAGATGGTCTCAAGTTAATGCTCGGTGGATTTGGGATAATATTCGCTATAGAGGTGAGAAGGTTAGTTGGCATCGGCTTGTATGGTTTCCTGGCCATATTCCAAAATTTTCAATGATATCTTGGATGGCAATGTTAGACAGATTGTCAACTAAAGACAGGCTTGCAAGGTTTGGTATAGCTGTTGATAGTGGTTGTGGTTTGTGCAGATCTGGTTTTGAGTCTCGTGATCACATTTTTTCTGATTGTGCCTATGCTGTGGGAGTTTGGCATGCCATCTTGCATGCTTGTGCACTTAATCTGGGGCCTTTATGCTGGAATAACCTTGTCTGCTGGTTGCTGCTGAACCTTAAAGGGAAGTCTCTATTGGTTCATATCCTTAAGCTGGCCTGGTCTGGGTTCATTTATTTCATCTGGGAGGAGCGTAACCACAGGCTATTTAGAGGTAAGACTCACTCGATCGATACCATTGTAAGTAGAATTAAAGAAGCTGTAAGTATTAAAATGTATGGATGTCGCATGAATAGGCTAGATGCAGTAAATAGATAGTTGTGTATAAATTGGGGTTTGATGTAATGGATTGATGGGTTATGGTTGTTGCAGCTAGTCTGCATTCTTTGGATGAATAAAAATTTGAGTTTTGATATTATAAATAGAATAATTATTTTGTAACGTATCTCTATAATATATAAATATAGATTAATATATTGATAAATTAGATATTAAATAATTATATTAATATTTTGTTTGTTTAATTCATATCTAATCGGATATTCCATCCATTATGGGCCCAATAATATGGAGAAGCAACCCATACCGTTGCCCATTTCAGTCGCAATTATTTTGAGCAGCCATACTTTCTTTTCACTCTTTAAAATTTTTTTATTTAGGGTTTTTTATTACTTCGAAATGATGTTTAATGATTTATAGATTTTGTATGAAATAATTCTGAATGTGACATATTGTTTGATAATAATTCTGAATAATTCAGAATGTATTCTTGTACTGAATCATTCAACACTATTTTATTAAATCAATTAATACCTAATCATTTAGAGATACGAACGCTGAATACTTAACCATTCATATTAGTACTTTAGCTTCAAGACAAGACTATTTGAACCGCTAACGCTAGCCTCTTATTCTTTACAACAACAACCCCATCTAAAACTTAGCAAGAAAAAGAAGAAAAAATCTGAGTTCCAATGGCGTCTCTGACCCCAATTTCCCAGTCCCACTCCTTCCTCAAAAGACCCAACCTTAAATCTCCTACATCTTCCAATTTCTCTTCCAGTTTCATCCTCAAGGATTTCCCATATTCCAAAGCCCTGTCGTCGTATCGGCCACGACGGCGGAGAAGCACAGGAAGAGGTACCCCGGAGAGGCTAAAGGGTTTTTGGAGGAGATGAGGATCGTGGCTATGAAATTGCATACTAGAGACCAAGCCAACGAAGGAGAGAAAGAAGTGAAACAAATTGAGAATGCAGATTTATCCCAAGAATTCTTTCTTTCTTCGTTTAGGGGCTTCTGTTGTTTGGTCTAATGGTTCGATGAAGGTATATTCTAATAGCCTTTCACATGAAATCCGAATCACTTTACCATTAACATAGATGATTGAATTGTAGCTGTTTAATTCTTTAAATGAACTCCTTTAAAAGTAACAGTGGTGCTAACTTCATGTTAAACCCGAAGTTTTGGATGGTTTGTAATGCACCACCCAGTCCGTAGCTTTGCCCATATCATATGTTTATGCTTGTATTGTATGTGCTTCTTGAGTGTGGTATTTTATGGTTTACGGTACTGCTAGAAAAAAGGGGAAGTGATAAGCCTGGTCTTCTTCAGATGGTGAGTTTAGAAATACTGAATCAGAAAGGTCTGAGAAGTTGGAGATGGATTTACAGTGGTTCAAAGATCAAGGCTATGCCATTCCAGAACCATCTTCTCCCGGTGTTACGTATTCCGAGTATCTTAAGGAATTATCTGAGAAGAATCCACAAGCATTCATATGCCATTTCTACAACATTTATTTTGCCCACTCGGCTGGTGGCTGGATGATTGGGATAAAGGTAAACACAATATTATCTCCAAATGTGTATCGAAAAGTAAATTTCTCTATCCTTATCTACACTGTCTAGAATTAAAGCACAGGTCGTTTTGCTCCGTCTCTCTTCTTCTCCCCATCCCTTTCGGTTCCCAATTTGGGTCAGTTCATGCATTTCACCAGCTTCTATCTAGTGGATATCCATAGCCATACTTAGTTTGTAACATGGTGAATGCATACACTTCCCTCGATATCTATGGTCCCTACGGCCCGCTCCATAAAATGTCCTCACTTAAATGAATATTAACTTGACTTACGAGATAGAGCACTCAAGCTCATTTAACCCCACTCTGTCTATCAGGTGGCTGAGAAGATACTTGACAAAAAAGAGTTGGAATTTTACAAATGGGATGGTGACCTTTCCCAACTGTTACAAAATGTGAGGGACAAGCTGAATAAAGTTGCTGAGGTAATATTCATTGTATGATTGCTTAACTCACTTGTAAACACCATTTCCATTATGTTTCTGTAAGACTAATACCTATTCTATGTTACTCAAGAGCTGGACTCGAGAGGAGAAGAACCATTGCTTGGAAGAAACTGAGAAATCGTTCAAATATTCAGGGGATATTCTTCGATTAATATTGTCATAGTATTCCAAATATAACTACTTTGTTGTTCTGGTTTGTGTTATCAAATCTGGAATTGTTGTGGACTGAACTTGTAAACATATTTCTCAACATTTACTCGTATTCCTGGAATTTTTTCCCCCTTCTAATACCAAAGTTTCTGTCGTTCAATATCATATGCATGAATGCTGATTTAGGTTCAAACTTTAGTTTCTTTTGTTTGAAACTGTAAGCGTCTTTCCCCCTCCTGTAACATTATATGGACTTAAACAGAATACATATAACCAGTTAACTTTGAGCGCCTGTAGCTCAGTGGATAGAGCGTCTGTTTCCTAAGTTCACGAAAATACTCGACTGCCCGAAGGAATTCCAGATCCAAGTCCCACATAAAATCTCCCTTCAACAATTAATTGTTCATTTCAATGTTGTTGATTGTCTGGAGATTAGGATCCCTACATTCATTCCGGTCGAGACTTATGTAACCCAAAGAAGATGAAGGAAGAAGGTGGAGTTTTATGAACAACATTATGTTATTTAATTTTGCAAAGTGCAAAGGGCCTTGGAATAAACCTATTCGTGTTGTCGGCAATGAAGTCTAGCTACTGGTAGATAGGTGGTTTATCTTTAGCTAAGCTGACAAAAACTTGCTAATACGTGAGCGGGCAAAGCCCACATGATTTCTAGTCATGCCAGATAACCACTCCGGCACGCCCACCTGAATTCAACATGTTCCGTGATCAATATATAAAACAAGAAATTAAGCCATAACATTAGAAAACAATCACAACAGCGTCTATGGTGCTACTGCTACCTTCTTTGTTCGTGAAATTCTTTTCACCCAAAAACCTGTTTGCTTTCCATAATTGCAAAATCCTACCCCTAATGTGAGAGACACAAAACAAAAGGTTTATTGTTATAAAGTCCAATGAAAAAAGGAAATGTTTTTAGAAGGATGATAAGGGAATGGAGCATAGAGTGGGATAAATGATAAAGTTGGATCAAATTAAATTTATGGTGGAAATATTCGATTCAGTCCAACTTTAGATAATATTCTATTGTTTCTCGCTATGAGATGACTATCCAGCTCAGTTGGTAAAGCACAAGGTTCTTAACCTTGAGGTTGTGGGATCGAGTCCCACGGAGGGCATTTCAAAATTTGGAGGTCTTCTACGGAAGCTGCTCTCAACCTGGTGTTGGGGGCAACCTACTATCTTACCTCCCCCTTATCCCATTACATATGGGAACAAGGGACAACCATTTTCTATTGTTTCTCGCTATGTATTTAGGGATGATTTTCACAGTAACTATATATATATATTGAACTATCTCTAAATTTATCAAATAAAAATATAGAACATTTTATTTATTTCAAGTTAAAAACAAATTTTTTCTCAAAAAATCAAGTCAGATTGAGTTGATGCCAAGTATCGGACGAAAGGGTATACTATTACGGTTAGAATCAAGTTAATAAGAAACCCAATCCGTAACTATCCCTACAAGTGTCTAATAAAAAACATATGTATATATAAATATTTGCAAATTATAAAACTGATTGAGATTATATAAAATTCAAATATAAAGCCCTCATCAATAAACTTTACAAATATAATTATTTTGATTTTTAAAGATGAAACAGACAAAATAAATACTAACTTTTAAAGTTTAAACTGTTGAAACATGTTACATTAAGTAATAGCACCATTCATACTAAGCTCCCCCAGGTAAGATTGTCCTTTTCCTCATCTCATAATAAAACATAAAGGCGCAACAAAGATTTAAGGTAAGATTCATGAGGCACAACTTCATCAGTCAAAGCCTCTAAAGGACCACCACGATCCAAGAGGCCCATCACACCGAAAACGAGACTTCACAAGATTCTAGATAAGGAGTTTCTCAATAGCATCCTGCATTCCACAAATGAAGACAACATAAGATGCAGGAGTAGATTCAGCCTCAACAGGTGCAAAACATTGTTAATTTTGTACGGTAACATGTTGTACTAGAAGGCAAAGTACCTTGAGTTGTTGTATTTGGGATTTCAATTGGCTTCCTTCATTTGTTGTGACAGAACACGATATTACAGGTCTTGTGACCCCGCGTGCTCGTCCAAGAGCTTGCTTTGAAGGAACAACTACGTAGGGGACATTCTGCAGAACAACATTGCTATTGTGATCAAAATCTAGGGAGTGAATCAAGGTGTTGTAGCTATGATTTTGATTCCATTATGAACTTTACATTGAGTAATCAAGATGTATAACCGGAATATTTCCGAGCTCAAGTAAAAGTACAGTAGAATCATATGCCCCGAATTCAGGGATGGACGGGAAATTTTAAATTCCAGCATAGTTTAGGTATTTTATTTGTATTTTCTATTAATGATCTTATTTGGCACCTTCTAAAATTTTATAATCACACCCTTAGCATGAAATTTTATAATGTCCCTGACCGAATTCATACCTAGTGAGGACATCATTGATTTGAAGCAATAAAACTACAGAAACTCCCAAAGATGATTAGTCGAACACTAAACACAGCTAAATATTACAACAGTGATATGAATGATTTAACACAGTAAAGTTGTAGCAAAGAACATCATATACAACAACCACAAGCGCATCGATCGTAAATACATATACCGCACTTAGCAATAACTTTGACTAGTGTAAATACATAAACCACACTCGGCAATAACTTTACTAGTGTAAATATTCAAATATTAATTGGTTGTCTGAGTTGAACGTTAACATGTTAATTGAGATAAAATAAAATCAAATCTCATAAACATTTGAGTTGTATTTTATGGATATGCTTTATGTTTACATTATGTCTTTGAGTCAGTGCCTGAAATATTCTGTTGTCAAACCAATGCTTGAAAGTAATGATAGTGCTAGTAGTTATCATTAAAATATGATTTTGAAATATAAGAATAGTCGGACGACCATTTTGTAACTTTTAATAGTCAAATGACTCAATAAAATAACACTCTATAGTCAATGGACCATTTTGTAACTTGTAATTGTTATAAGCCTCAATAAAATAGCATCATGTAGTCATGAGACCATTTGTGTATTTTATCCATTATTTTTAATTAAAAGAGATAATCTTATAAAATACAATTGCTTTAGCATAAAGTTGATATAATCAAAATTGTGTTCGAGAAACGAAGATAGAATCGAGTTGATAAAAGAATTCATTGAACAACCTCAATTATATATGGAGTATTATTTTTTAGAAGTTTCGAGTTCGAACAATTATGTTTGTAGATTGTGCATGTATTGTTAATTGACTATTTTTTTCAATAGATACTATCTAGTTTACCTTATAATTACTACAAATTATTGAAAAGAAAATTCGAACTGATAAAGGTATAGAAGTTCGAATTAAGAAATTAATGTTTTTTATATATAAACATTCTAGCACTTGTTAAGTAATTCACTTATACATATTCTAAACAAAGTAACAAGTTGGAACTAAAAAAAAACTATAGCTTAAGAGAAATACGCAGGAATATGGAAAAGATGTCAATGGATGGCATTAAGCTGGCGGCTGAAATTTGTGCAGCAAATCACAATGCGGTGTCTCCCCCATAAACCCCCACTGCTGTCGCTGCAGCTCTACCCTACAAGTCTGCGCCAAAACAGAATAATAATCGCTCTCCACATTCTCCTCCATCTTTAAACGCTCGGGACTGTTAACCGGATAATCCTGCTCGAATGCCGACGACCTGACATAAAAATTCAACCCCTTCTCGGCACTGAACTTGTGCTTATAAGGATACGACCTAGACAGTGAAAAAAACAGGCTTTGAAGAAGGCAAAGACTTCAATATTAGAATTAACAGAAAGGGTAACAATTGAATCAGCATCACAACATTGGATCCATTAGAGCCGTGATTCCCCCTTCGAGTTCCATAATTGGAACTTGGAAACTGGGTAGTTGAAGGAGGCATTCCACCGAAGAAATTCCTAAATATCTCATACGCATGGAATTCGGTACGGTAAAAGGGATTACATCCATTGCCCCCTCCATATGCTGAAGCTTTCCTTTGATGAACAGATTCATCTGATCCAATGAGATCGTATTTTTTCCTGCTTTCTTCATTGCTTAGGAACTGAAACGCTTTCGACACCGCCTTAAAGGCTTCCTCGGCGCCGGGAGCTTTGTTCTTATCAGGATGGACTTTCAAAGACAGTTTTCGGTAAGCTTTCCGAACATCTTCGGCAGAACACGTTTTCTCTAACCCCAAAATCTCATAATAATCCTTCTTTCCCTTGATTTGTTTCAAGATTTTGATTTGTTCTTCGGTATAGGCAGCTGTCGGCGAAGAAGAAGGAGAAGAGGCGGCTGACCGAGTTGATTGATTTCTTTGGCGAATGGAGGGTTGATCGGACGACCAAGGTCGACAAGACCCGGAAGACTCCGGTGCCTTCCGATCGACGGATTCTATTTCGGCTGCTGCTGATAAGAGATCGTCGACGGAAAGTGTTGGGTCGAGGCGACGCGCTTTAGTGAAGAATTTGAGTGCACGGGCTCGATTTCCAGTGTCTAACGCTTCTTTCCCGATGTTCAAGCACTTCAAAGCATCATCTTTGTTTCCATCCATGGCTGAAGTTTCGTATGTATGGGTAGTGTATGTATGTATGTATGTATGGTTATGGGTATGCATCTCTCTATATACAAACAAAAAAGAGTCAATGGTTGACTAGAAGTGAACTACTGGGGCCTAGTCTTTAAAGAACTAGGGGTCGAAAGGGCAAAACGGGTATTTCGACTGCCGTTAATAGTATTTTTATTTATAATTTATTTTAGATTTATAATGATAATACTTGTATGTAATTTTAATACCTATAGTTTATATATTCAAATGCAATTTTATAAATAATTTTATTTAAATATTTAAAAATTATATTTTTCAATTAAAATTGCATTTTATATGTCAATATTATTTATATTATTATTATTATTATTATTATTATAATTTAAGGTAGGGTTTGTGTTAGGAATGGTAACTAATTAAATAGGATTTTTAATCAACTCAAACCAACTCGAGAAACATACCCATTCAGTTCAATTCAAATCTAAGCTTGGAGAGGTTCCATCAAACTCAAAATCTGACCTAAATTTTAGGATAACAACATTCATTCAACCCAAATCCTACGTAAATATAATTTTTTTATTCAACAAAATAAAAACCTAACTGAAAAAATATTAAAAAACAAGTCATTATAATAATTATCCCTAACTATATAGAAAAGTAATTATACTATTATTCCGGGCCAAATATTTTTTTCAAGTCTAACCCCGTCTTTTTAAAATCTAACCTATTAAATCATTTAAAATCCGTGGAATTTAGATCAAGTTACCATCCCTAGTTTGTGATTCACAGTTGACATGTCACAATACCAACCTCGGAAATAGAAGCCAAAAGAATGAGTTACCAAATTGAATATTGAAAAGAAACATTATAAAAAAGTAATGATCATCCTACCACAACCAATAAAACTCAACACCTAACATGTATAAGAAACCAAATTCGCCTTAACCATGCAGTGGCTATAAGAACAGACCACCAGCAAATAACAAACAACTTCAACCCTGCACTCCCCATCCACAACATCCCTTTCTTCAGCAGAAGCTGCCATTAATTCATCAAAGTTCTCCGTCTTCCCCAACAATATCTCGATCTGAGAAAGATCATAGAAGCAAATCAATCGACACCCAAAGCTAAAAACTGCACCATGACATTAGGGTTAAATAACCAACAATAACGGAAAGTTTAGCGCACGAAAATCTATTACTGAGTTTTTCCATAGCACTTCAGATTTGAACTTAATTTGGAGAGAACGAATGTATAAAGGCATTTTTGTTGGGGGGGGGGGGAGGGGGCTATTAAATTGACTCACCTTTGCTTTTTGGACAGGCCGTCCTCTCCAGTCCTCCTTCATGTCAACCGTTGAGGTTGTGATCTCTGCATAGATGAATAGGTTCATTGTCGTGATTATCCAAACTTGACGCCTATATTTACACATTTCTTAAAAATGTATTCAGAAAAAGTGGAGGCTATCTTACTCTTCTCGACAGCCAAACCATTGTTTTTCAGGATTTCAGCAATTGTAACAACAGTTGCAATAGCTGCATATACGAAAAGACAAAAAAGAATAATGAGTTACTGCAAAAGCTGATGTTAAGTTTCATAGATGAATATTTAGATGAAGAAATAGATGACAGGAAAAAGAAAAGTTATAAACACTTTGCACATGAGAAACAGAGTTGATAAATGCTTCAGAGCATCTTCACTGCACAACATCCCCACATAAAAAGGTTTGAAAAAAAAATGCCAGTAAGCCCCGAGCCGAAGGCGAAGAGTGACCAGAATATTTAAGATATGTAGAACCATTGCCTTCAGGGCAATTATAAATTATAATTATAATTTGTAGGTAAAATGCTGAACCACGCAGCTCCAAATCAAATCTTGTGCAGTACAATAATCTAAAGATCAAACAACTAGAGCAAGTAAAAACCATTACTTAACTCCCCTATCTGTTCCTGGTGCAGTAAAAGGATATTAAAAGTAGGAAATATAGAACTGAAAGAGTAAAAGTACCCATGCCAAGGGCAGATAGCTCCACTTCATTGTGATGTTGAATATACATCTACCAATAAAAAGAAGAAAAGAGATATCAACTATCCATGTAATTTAATGCAAGAACACAGATAATTAATCTTTAGTTGCAAAAGGAAAAAAAATAAGCTTAAACCCACCAAGAATATACCGGTTCTGTTCGAATACAGCCTCTTATTTAGACAGTAAATGATACAAAATTCAGAAAAAGGTAAAAAAAATACAGAAATAATTAGAAAACTGAAGAGGAGAAACCTTGGCTAGATTGACGTAGAAAAACAAGGGCTTTTTGGTATTGGAGACTTGAACCCGGTTCTTCTTGTTGGAATCGGCGGTCAAATTCATGTTGTTGACACCTTGAGTGATTTCTTCCATTTTGAGACTTCTGCAATTAAAACCCCAACCCTAACTCTCAAAATCTCTGCTTTGACTCTGAAAAACTGGATGAAATATGGAGAGTAGTGACTTTTCTCAGCTGAGTTTTAAAGTTGGTGGATTCTGTAGGTGGTGCCTACTACTCACTGGCTAGGGTCTTCACTTCCATGGGAAGTTGGGAACTGACTTTTAACCATAAAGAAAGGCAATAGGGTAAACTACCCCAGGAGTCACTAGACTATGATTAAATGATTGTTTTTGGTCATTAAATTTATTAAATCATTATAAAATAATCACACGAAATTATAATAGTTGTAAAACATTTATAAATTTAATGATAATTTTATAATAAATTAATAAAATCCGACCATATTTTATAAAAAATTATAAAATTTAATAATTACTCTATAACAATTTAATGATAATTTTATTTAAGTCAGTTTCTACCAGTTGTTTTTTCTTCTTTATTAGGTTTTTATCTGTTTCTTGGGTTCGTATAAATGCTAATTAAAGATGAATTGTCCTATTTAATTTTAGAACCCGTCATGGTCTTTATGGCTTAAATACATGTTTGGTACTTGAACTAAATATTTTTTTAATTAAATTAGTATTAAAAAAAGTTTTTTACAGGTTGATATTATACTAGATACCTTTTCAAAAATCTATATATAATAATTTGGGTAAACTACAAGTTTAGTACCTAACTTATCAATTTTGATCTATTTTAGTACCTAAACTTTCAGTTTTTTTTCAAAATCATAACTAATGTTTAGTTTTTGTTTCATTTTAGTACCTCCGTTAAAAATTTAACATTAAGTTTTGAAAAAAAATGAAAGTTTAGGTACTAAAACAGACCAAAATTGATAGTTTAGGTACTAAATGTGTCAAGTTTTTAATGGCGGGTACTAAAATGAAACAAAAATTAAACATTAGATATGATTTTGAAAATTAAAAATTTAGGTACTAAAATGAACCAAAACTGATAGTTTAGGTACTAACAATAATTTTTATAGTCAAGTTGATACCCAAACTTTAATTAACTTTAATATTTTTATTATCGATGTTAACTTTAGATGGTGTGGTTATAGTTTTGTATAATATCAATGACGATGATAAAAAAAATTGTAAAAACTTAATAAAAGTGTCAAAAACAAATTAAAGTTTGGGTATCAATATGAGAATAAAAATTCTTTAAGTAGCAGTTTGAAAGAAGATGCCTAACTCAAGTGCCAAATATATATTTAATCCCTTTATTATCTACCATTTATAGTTTGGATAAACTATTTGTTTAGTCACAAAACTATTATTGTATTTCTGATTTGATCAATTAACTAATAAAAATTTTGATTCCAGTCAATAACGTTATGTGTTTATTATATTTTGATCACTACGGTTAAAAAGATAACGAAAATGCTTATGTGATTATTTTTAATTGGTATGATATTATATTTAATTCTCAAATACTTATACATTATTTTAATGTAGTCATAATTCTAAATAATTTCAATAAATTTACCGCTTCCTATTTACAAACAATAGTCCAAAAACACATCATCACATCAACCTTGTTATTAACCTTATTTGTTATGATGAACACATAGGACCAGATGTCTAATCTGGTAGTGTCTTGGTTCCAAGTTGCCAATGGAAGGTCCCTTCCGGTCGTAGTGTTGTATTGTTTTGTTGTATACGCAGTGAAAGAAATGAAGCAAATACAATCTATTTAATCGAGATGCGGACGTATATACGAATGCTTTTCGTTGAAGAACATATACGAAAGCTAATTATGCCTTGGCAGGAAAAAGTACATTTAAAATATATCTTCAACCCAACCCTATATCGGAAACAAATTTACAGTCATCAAGCTTGAAGAACCTGGCAGTGAACAATGTGGCTTTTTAGCCGGTTCCGGCTGGCGAGGCTAGACCAAAGGTTTGTAAATAAGTTCTTGAACTGACCCTTCCCTGCTATAGTTTCCCATAAATGTTCAGCAGTAGCTCCCCTCATATCCTCAGATTTCGTAACATCAACCAAAGATACGCTCATATTATTCCGAATGATGCAGAGTTTCCCGCTAAGTGGAACGAGAGCTGCTGCTTCCAGAGCTTGAGAATTCCCCAAATGTATCCTACTGTCGATATGCTTACTCCAAGAATCAGTCACTTCGTCGTAAACCCTTAGCTTACAACCATCCTTGCACTCCAAAGTATAAAGACGACTGTTTAAAGAAGTACATGGGTTACGCCAGCCTGCAATCATTCCGTTATAGACAGGGCACCAGCTATTGGTTTCGGGTTGGTAGACCTCACTCATCACCTGTTGGTGAGATCCAAGCCCCTTCAAGAACCACTTCCCCTCATATACAACCCCAATGAAGGGCACCATTGCCGTGCTCATATCTGAAATATAAGACCACCTATTCTTGTTGGGATCATATACTTCAGCAGACCTCAATGACCGATGCACCCCTTCATTCTCTCCACCAGCAACATACAAGCAATTGTTTATAACACACGAACCAAAGAAATGTCTTCGACGAAGCATATCTGGGGCACGGTGCCATTTGTTTGTCCTGACACTGTAATATATTACTCGTCGCATAGATCCCTTTAAGGGATCCTTACCACCAACAGATAAAGGTGACAACCACTGAGGACAGCACATCCAAAGCCAAGGGCTTCAGAATATTCCTTGGGGACAGGAGGGAGTGGTTGCCAGAGCTGGTATACAGGATCAAAGGCATGCCAAGAAATCTTTCTGTCTCGATCTCTTTTAATAACATATATACATTCTTCTGCAATTCCAATGCTCTTTCGGAGAGAATAAAAAAAGTTACCGGACAAAAGTCTATACCATTTTTTGCAGACCAGGCGGAGCTTTCTGTGCTCAACTCGCGGGACACGTATTATGCAAGCAATAGCAAGATCATCGGGGAGTCCAGGGAGCAGAGGAGATTGGTTACGACTCCTATCACCACGTGTCGGCTTGCTCCTTGTCAGATGAATGGATGGTTTAATATCAGGTTGGAGACACAACTTTGTACCAGGTACATATCTTTTTGCTCCAGCAACAGTTTTGAGCCCAGCATCTACTCTACATAAACAAGCCGTTGTATCAACCTGCCAACAAACATTCACAATTGATGAGGATTTTATTTTCTCATTTTCCCCCTATATACTTTCTTACCACAGTAACATGAAGCCGTAAAATATACTAGGCTAGTGAGTAGTGACAGTATCGAGAAAGCCATGAATACTAAGCCACAGCCCACAGACGTACAATGATACCTTTTATTCATGATAACAGAAAACAGTTCTAGCCTACGTAATCTGGTTATTAATATTTGACACTCGATTTATAACATCTTTTTTGGGTAAACCCAGATGCCAACATACAAGAAACAATTACCATCTTAAGTAGATGTTGAACTCTGTTGTTTTTTTCAAGTGGTATGACCATTCCACCAATACTCGAGGAACACGGGCCTTGAATTGAAGTAGGACGTATCAGAACCTCTTCCATCAAGATCCACACCGCTAATATAAGACAGTCAAGCACCCAAGCTTGAACCCAAAAAAAGAGCAACAGAATTCGATAGAATGCTCCTAAACACAAAATAATATGTTGAAAGAATATAGATTTCGACTTTAAGGATAGTAGTGCACTTTCTAAGCTAACTTCACTGGATCCTTAAGGCATCTATTGCAGTTATTCGAGCACGGAAAATGCCTCAACTCTTTGGTTTCACATTTTAAAGAACTTACCATCCTCAAGCTAGGAATTGGACAAAGCAACAAAGGATGCATATTCCACAAACATGTATTGTATGTATTTCCAATGTCATTATGCTCATCACTTCATCCACACACAAGCTACCATAGTCAAACAACATGCCTTCAATAAGATAACAAAAGCATGGTACGCAATCAATCACAATAGTCTAGAGAAAGCTAAGTTGCAAGCCTCTGAGAATGTGAGGTCCATGTAGTTTGATAAGTTAGAAGACACCGATACAAGTATATTTTCGACAGGGTATGTTCAATTTTTTCCACGTTTTCCCATATACTAGTTTGATGTTAAAGGGTCATAAATCATAATCATATACCATTTAAATAGCATTTCTTCAAACATGTAATATGGCTGAATCCAAAGCAGAAAAGGGTGGGCTAATTAACTCACCAATGGAGGTTGAATCATTCTGTCCATGCTTTCCTGGTTCAACAACTAGCAAAACACCAAATTCACCCAAAATCCCTATCTCTGAATCATCGTTATTCGACCCAACAAACATAACTACAAGTAAAAGATTCCACCTTCGTCATCATTTCACTTCTAACATTTTTTTCCAGAGATCAATAGAAAAACAGGGGACATCCTCTGATGTACCAAAAACAAAAGGTGGAAATTTGCAGTCCGAAGCGAAGTCAAAGCTCAAAAACCACAGTCAGATCCAACATTTTTATCAGATAAACCCAAAACCCATGTGTGAAATAAAAAAACCCATATACAAAAGCTCAAAAGGGAGAAAACAAAAACCCCATAATCTAGTCTTTTTTAGCAACAAGAACTCAAAGGAGAAAAGAAAAACAAGAAATGGGGGCAAAGAGAGCACTGAAAGAGGAGAAAGAGTCCCATTAAAATGTCATCAGTGGAGTTCAGGGCCCATCCACCCTCAACGGCACAACCTACCAGGCAAAAGAGTTTATTCAACAAGTGAGAGATAGAGGTATAAAAGAAAAGACCAAAAGAAGAAGAAAAAAAGCAAACCTAAAACATTAAAAGGTGGAGAGAAAGATGAGGCCTTAAATGATTATACTTTGGTGGTTTGTTTTGATGGGAGAAGAAATGAAGAAACTTTAAATAGCAAATCACAGCCTTTGCCTGTTGTTGAAGAATCAACAAAGCCCTTTCCTAGTTTCGGGACAAAGATTTTCAGAGAATTCGACAAAGATTCAAAGACAAAATTAAAAACAGTGGGTCTCACATATTCCACAACTCAAGTCACCTCGTTCCTACTCCTCAAAGGAGCATTTGGTCATTTTCCAATCTTGTCTGAAAATATTCTTATCATTGATCAAAATGTGAGATGCCACGTATAGGCTGATTTAAGTAATAAATAATTTAATATTGTTTAAGCAATGTCAAGTGACAAATAATTTGATATTGTTTAAATAATATTTTAAGTTCAAGTCATTGTGTATGTAAAAAATTCTACAGGAATACTCACCTTTTAAAGTCAGGTGTGTGGCACGGATCAGTCTGAATTAATCAAGACGAAACTTTGAAACCGAAAGTACCTATAATCTTCTCAGTGAGATAATATAAGATCAATGTGATTGGATTATGATAGTCATCAATAACTATAAATAATACGTGAGAAGCATTTATATAATAACATCTTTATTATTAAACAATTACACATAAATTATAATCTTGTACGTTCAGAAAATTGAATATTTAGAAATCCGCCATGCAACGAACCTTCCTTCTTGCATGAATGGGGGAAATTGCTGCAAAATTGAAGGTAAGTGTTCCATAAGACAAGAAGGAAGGTGTCATTCACATTACCAAATAAAAGAAGCAATGCATTGGATAAAAATACAGAGATCCTTAATGAAAGGGAAAAGTCTCTGTCCTATATATTACGCCTTACCATTGTTGAATATTCATTTTCTTACTTGTATTGCTTCCCCTGTTATTGATATTTGCTTCACATTGTGGACTTTAAGGTTTTCATGTCTGAAAACACAATCAGAAATTTGGGTGATTTTGATTAGAACTTATGGTTAGAAATCCCATTTGATTTACTTAAATTTAACAACTTTTATATCCATCATAAATATGATCGAGTAATATGGTACAATTTATTCAACCAAGATTAATTTTCATGTTCATATATATTTATATATATTAGCTGAGAGATGAGATGTTGAAAGATTATACTTTCCTTGTTTGGGGGACAAAACATGGTTGAACGCCTTTTGTGGGGTTTTTCACATTGTTGAGGAGTTTCTCCACACACACACACATATATATATAGCATTCCTATAGACGATTATAAATGTTACTTATTGGAAACTTTCTTCTCTTTCAATCTTCATGAAACAAGTCAAATTCAAGATTTTATTTATAACTTTCCCCTCATAGGCAACGGATATTTGCCACAATAACAAAAGGAAATTGAATCACGTGAGAAATGCAATTACACCATGGAATACAAGTAAAATCACCTAAAAACTTTAAATTACTAACAAATCACCAATTCAGGTTGATGGCCAAATGAGCTCAAAAAGTAGGCTTACGGTCTTATGACATATTTGGTTTTTCCTTCAGCCTCTTGTCCCAATGGAGCCCTGCAGCAACAATAATGCATTGGAATAATGAATGTAGAGGCAGACTACTTCTAAATCTCATCTAATACGTCTTCATCAAAGCAAATTTCAAAATCTCTCACTAAAAACATAAGGTAACATACCTTGTGAGGATGCATGAAGCAACATCCAAAACCAACTTTTCATTGGGATCAAATGAAAACCTGCCATTTTTTTAAGAAAGTTAATAACAAAGGTACATGTTCTCGGACTGCTTGATGAAGCATTTGACAATGCAGAAGTTTAAGTTATGATACTGAAATTAAATTTGGATGAACAAGTTCATTTTTAGTGTTAGTTATATATATATATATGTTCTTAATCAGCAAGGATTATCCCCCCCCAATTTATAGTCTAGAATCCAAGATACAATAGTTTTTTTCCCCATCTGATACAAATTCAATGAGAGAGATCCAAAAGATATTTAATTGCAAATGGAGGGTAAAAAGTAAATTTATCTACATTTGTTCATAAAAAAGGTTCATACAAATGGCCACGTCACAATTATTGATTAATTCAATCCAACAAAAAAACCAATTGATTAAAAGATACATACCTGAACAAGTGAGTGTTATGACTAACTCTTGCGGTATCTTGCAACTTAAATTCTAGCCACTTATCAGGCTTCAAGGCTGCAAATCCCAAAAAATTCCAAGTTAAGTACAACATAAAAAGGATTAAAAGACACTAACACCGATCCCTTATCATTTACACAACCACTTTCAACTTTAAGATTGACTAATATTCTCCCTGGAGAGGCCAAGGGGATCGAGAGTTACATGGTTCAACTCAATTTTGGAATTCTGTCATCAAATGCTGACAAAGTCTAGTAAATTTGTGCTCACCAACTTTTGGACCGGTCTCTTCATTAATTTAAAGAAAGAAAATGAACCTGTATCCATAAAGAATTGCTATATAATTACTCAAAGTGGAATGTACCCAGAGCACCAAAAAGTGCTTACGCAACAATGCTAAAACACATAAGAGTTCATAGATGCAGGTGTCATGCAAATAGGTTAGCTTTTAAACATCAAATTTCATCAACAAAGCCAAAACACCTAGGTAACACTTGAACCACCGATATGTAACCTTTCCTAATTGAAATTCAAAGCACATGATACGTATCAACATCCAACATTCCCTTCTATATCCAAACCTCCATAAAAAAAAACTCAAGGAAAAAAAAAGAGAGTCCTACATATACATTTCATCATTTAAATTCGATCCGTCCCATCTCGTTATCATCTTTATTTTTTAACACTATCGTCTACAATAAATAAAATATTTTATCATCCTACCTTCTCCATTTACGAACCATTAGTGTGTATATATATTATTAGCACATAATATTGCATAAGGAACTCATATTCATGCTATATATAAAAAATATTAAAGGTGTGTTACAGAATGCATGGGTTGCAGCCTTGCAGATAAGAACTCGAAGTGGCGGTCGGTCATGATTTTCGAGTCTTTCTTATGCTTCTCCGGTTCCGTTTGTTCTAGTCGATTTGGCGAATCTTCAATCAATCGATGATGACTTCAAAATCCGCGTTAGATGGGTTCAATCTGGGGCGACATTAGGTGAACTGTATTACAAGATTAACGAGAAAAGTAAAACGCTTGTTTTTCCGACAGATACCGGCTATATCGTCGGTGTTGGTAGCCATATCAGCAGGGGAGGGTACGACGCATCTATAAAAAAAAATCATTTTTAATACAACGTCATATGCTTTGGTGTTGGATTGAATCAAATAAAATTCAAATCACACAACTCTAACAATAACATTATTAATACAATATGCTTTGGTGTTGAACTCATACCTAATGTCCTTCAACGTCACTAACAATGAAGAGTCAACGATTAATCAAGTTTAATCTTTTCATTATTTCTCAATTTTAATTCTTTTAATAGATAATCTTCTAGATTTCTTAATTAAAATATTTGTAATTTATTTGATCTTTTAAAATTAAAATTAATTTGATATAAGATATTAATATTTAAAAATTAAACTTTTTAAAATCAAAATCAAAATAATATTTTAACTATAATTTAAAAATCAATAGATATGAAGTAGTAATTCAATTATAATAAATAGATAATTTGACGTATTTTTTTTCAAATATTAGTGATGTGGATGTAATTTAAACATATAAAAACAGACGATACGGCAAGAGCGCGTGCTAGTAAGTAATAAGTGAATGCTGAACGGCGCCGACTTTAAAAAAAATAGTGTACAGAGGTTGTCCACGTCAGCTGCCTATCCTATATATATAGATGGGCAACGCGCTTGCTCATTTCCCTATTCGAGCTAAAAAACACCGAAATTCGTGAGAGGCCGCCTCTGCCTCTTTCCTTCTTCAAATCCCTAATTTATCAAATTTAATCTTTTCGTATTAGAAAAAAAAATTGGATTTGGATTAAAGGATCTTAACCTCCAAACCAATCCTTGAAGTTGTGGTCGCAGTTGCTGGTAATAACCTTATTCCAAAAATCTCTTAATTTTCATTTTTTTTAGTTTCAAAGGGTTTGATTGCACCCTCGATTCCTTTCCTGTTCTACTTGGATCGCTTAAGATCTTCTGTTTCGATTGCGTTCGTTGACCCCCTTTCTTTAGCTGGGGATAGTGTGCTTAATGCTTGATTTTTAGTATTTAGGATTTATTAATTTGTTAAACTTTACAACTTCAAGAAATTTTATTTGTTAGTTTATTACGGCCCTCCAATTTTGTTGTTATCTCTTGTGTGTATGCCTTGAATTTAGCATAAGATTTTGATACTAGGAAGTTAGTTGAACTGAATAGCTAATTCTACAAAATGTGAAGTTGAGAATTTCAATTGTCAGTGCTTGTAGTTAGGGATGTTTGGGCTATTAGAATTGATCTTCTGTATTGAAAATTGATAATCTCTACATCTTGTATTAAACTTGCTAGGTATGTGGGAAGATATTATGCAGGGTACTTTTGGCATTTAAGGTTTGTGTAGACACTGGCTTTTCTTTTCTTTTTAATGGATGTTTTATCTTGTTTGAGTTGTCTGTAAGAAGTATGTTTTTATGCAAAGAGAAGAAGCTATGTGAGGTAGGAATCTGAGACATTAGTGCGATGCGAAGCAGCATGAAGATGGGAAACAGACTTTAAGATTTTGAACTGAGCTTTAGAGTTGCAATGAAAAATAAAAATCCTGATAAGCACATAGACACTGTTTTTTGTGACATTTATCTACTGTTGCTAGAGCTTATATGATGTTGTGCAAATTTGGTTTTAAATATGCAATATATTTCCTTTCTCCCCTTGAAAATCTATGATGCATTTGTGAAGTCTACTTCTACATTTTACATTGTATCTATAATTTTGCAGGGCTCTGTTTTTTGTGTTATTTTTGTTCTAAGCCTCAGCTCCTTTACATTTTTACTGAATCTTATCTATGTAAAACTAATGTTTATGTCAGTTTTGTTTTTTGCTTCCAATTGTTCAGTTTCTGCCTTCTCAACGTGTAATCGTTTAGCATTTTAGCCTTTGTACATCAAAGGTAACATGCCGAAGGAAAGAAGAGATCGCTCCATGTCTTTTGATAGGTGTAGGAGATCTCCCTTCTCATGTAGCTCCAGCTATAGTCGCCAATCTTCATCTAAAGTCCTTTCAGAAACTGAGGAAAACATAAAGGAATGGGAAGATGCCAGGTGCCCTGTCTGTATGGAACATCCTCACAATGCAGTTCTCCTCATATGTTCTTCCCACGAGAAGGGTTGTCGTCCATACATGTGTGATACAAGTTATCGCCATTCAAACTGTTTTGATCAGTTTCGCAAGTCATTTATGGACACCTCAGCAACAACACCAGAAGATCCTCAACAAGAAGAAGCTCAACTTGTAACCACTAATTTGTCACCAACCATGACTGAAAATTCAGTATCAACTGCCACTGATTTGCAGGAAGAAAGAACTGAGGAAGGGAACTCAATCCCATTCAATGCCTCGTCTGAGAACCGGGTGCTTTCAAAATTAGTATGTCCTCTGTGTCGTGGCGAGGTAAAAGATTGGGTTGTTGTAGAGCCTGCTCGTTGTTTCATGAATGCCAAATCTAGAAGTTGTTCGTCTGAATCATGTAATTTTACTGGCGCTTATAAAGACCTAAGGAAGCATGCAAGACTTGAGCACCCTTCTGTGCGCCCTTCAGAGGCTGACCCTGAGCGACAGCGAAATTGGAGAAGGTTGGAGCGTCAGAGAGACCTCGGGGACTTGCTCAGCACGCTGCAATCTTCATTTGGAGATGAGAGGAATGATGACAATGTTCTTCCGATTGATGATGGAAGTTGGCTTACTGTCTTTTTCCTAATTCGAGTGTTTCGACCAGGTTCTAATCATAGGAGGAGCAGCTGGTCTCGTGCATCAAGGGCGAGAGCTCAATCGAGTATTAGGAGATCTACCAGACTCGGGGGCGAAAGCTATGATGGAGAAAGTGGATCTACCAGAGATGAGGACAATGTGTCTTCAGATAGTGGATCGCTTCCTTGGCGTCCTTGGAGGCGCCGTGTAAGGAGACGGTCGTCTCCTGACAATCAACAATGACACTGTTAGTGTGATTGTATCTTTAATATAATATGTTTATTGTTTGCACGTTGCAAGTGCCATACTCATTAATCTACACCTTGTACTTGCAATCTTTCCTCGTGATATGGCTGATGAGTTCTAAGAATGTATCTGAACTGACTGATTTTTTGTGTTTCAGGTAGGACTGGAAGAGAAATGCAAGTGAGTGTGTATGCGCAGCATGGAACATATTTGGTCCAAGTTGCAGGATAGGATCAAATGAGTGAAACTAAGTTGAATGTATTTTGGAACTGAACTCATTCAGTAAGCATACCATTATTTCTTTCTTGCACGGCGTGATCTCTATGTCTACTATAATTTCAAGTTTTTTTCCTTTCAACTGTTGAGATATAAATTGTTATTGTTCATTCTGAAAGTATGATGATGTTCAGAGCAATATGCATATTCTTGGTTGCCATTTGCTTAAAAATTTTCTTCAAGAAACAATAGAAGAGGAAACAGAAGAGTTGAGTGAATTCACCCAAGGAAATGCTAATTCGAACTTTTCGTAGAGTCGTAATGTGTTTATTCACTGAATTTATTTAGAGTTACGCGTCCTCAAAATTTGACCTTCATTTGAATATTTTAGTTTTATCCTTAAATAATGATTCATTTTAAATTAGTTCTCAAATTTTTAAACGTTTCTATTTCATTCCAAACTATCTCCTTTGTTAATGAATTGTTACATAACATGTGTCTATTATGTAATAATGATCTATTATATAATAATATAATATTGTATAAATAATAATTAATGTTGTATCACATTTTTAAAATTATTATTTAGAACAAAACTAGAAGGTTCTTTGATTTAATTTTTATTCCATCCATATATATATAATATTTTTTATGTTTCAAAATTTTATTTATGTTAGATTATGTTATTAAAAATACATATATATATGTTTACAAAACATTAGTATGGGTCGTGTGACTTACATGAATAATTTTTATTCCATCAGTATGTATAATAATTTTTGTGGTTCATTTACCAATGCAATCGGATCTGCTTGTATCTATTTTTGTTTGAGTTTTCCTTGTTAGATTTTAATCTTTTCTTGTATGGTCTTTTATGTGATCTTAAGTTGTTAATTTTATTTTAATTATTATAGGAAATTGACTCAATTATGTGCTTAATTTATGATTATGATTGTGAATCTTTATTGTAATTTAAGATATTTCTTATTTTGAATAAAATTAGTAATATATATATATATATATGTGTATGTGTGTGTGTGTGTGTGTTTACAAAATATTAGTATGGGACGTGTGGCTACATTTATGAAGTATATAGAAATGTTAAAAAGTTTGGTTTAGAATGAAAGTTATATTTTAAAGATAGAATTGAAATATTTAAAAGTGTAAAAAAGAACTAGTGTTACATATGATATAATTAATTCATTTATTTATGCAGCGGAAGATAGGAAAAAGAGCAAAACTAAGGTGGGTATAGGTTTATATTCTAGTGTGGGTAATTATATCAATGCATTTCACCATGCCATTTCATAATTATCAATTTTCAGGTGTGATTTTAACAATGGTATCAATTGCCATTCCAAACAATAATATTCCAAACTACAAAAGTTGACGAGCAAAGGCCGATGCCATTATCAATAACTAAGCAATATGCCAAAGTAGAAAGAGACGGTATCAATCCAGGTATGGAAGATTATTCACTATACCATAAATAAACACCTCCCAATCAAACAGAACATTCTTCAATTGCATACTTAAGTTGATTGACCATCAAACCCCAGCTTCGAATTTAACCAAGCGCAGACCTCTGCCATCTCCTCTGGGATAGTATAGTGACCAAGCCTATATCGTTTATACAAGTACTCGGTTCAAGTTGATAAATTTTTTTTTATAGAAGTTGAATGTCTCATTAAAAACTCCCTTCGTATTCGTTCACATACTAAATTCAAGTTGATAAATTGTTCAATATAAAACAAAACCTGGGAGTTTCTATTGTTAAAATCTCAGAATTTGTACCCGTCATATGATTTGAAGGTCGTGTTTTAGTACCTGAGAAGATTTCTCACCAAATTTTTATGGAACCACATCGTCTCCTGCAACTTGAGACATGTTATATAAGATTAAGCTAACAGCAGTAATTATGTAACTATGAAACACAGTGCTAGTACCATCACTCTTACAACATCGATCCCTATGAAACAGTCATTATAGGTTTCATATCACTACTTTTGGCTGGTTAAATCAATAACTCTATAAAAATGGAATTGCTTCCGAAATTATGAAGTCGACGCTAAATGTTCGGGTGGTTATATTCCTTGAGTAATGTATTACTTTGTCTGGATACCATCTTGTTATGTCTCATTGCTACTTCATAATCAAAATAAACGATACTAATGTTTGCAGCACCTCTTCTGTAACAGACAATACCATACATAATCCAATCATAACTTGCATAAAGAAGGCAACCATAAATAACTTTTCCATGGCATAGCAAAATGGTCAAGGATGCTGCACGTCTAGCAGCTTCCTCCTGTCCTATTTTGCTTTTCAAAGTCCTAGAAAAGAAAAGAATTTATAACAATAAACCAGACAAATCGTGGGGAAGCATTAAGGTCATATGAGAAGGTGCAATGTAGGAAACCAAATTTGAACATGGAAGCCATCCGCTAAGTCCTACAACTGCACTAAAGTTGGCGGGATATGGATTTCCATTTCCATATTTTACGTGAATAAAACAGGTCGTGGAGTATAAAGAGGTTGCTGCACCCATACTGAAACCTCCGATACCAAGTTCAACTGTAATTGGAAAAGGCTACGATTAGAACAATGTCAAAAACAATTACATAACTAAAATTTTAATTGCTAAAACCGAAAACTAAGATCAATGCAACATTGCATTGGCTGTAAGCCAAACTAATCGAGCAGCAACTTACTTAGATGTAAATAAATCCTAACAATGTGGTCATTGTTTACAGGCATTTATTAGAATGACAATAAATATAAGGCCTTGTTCAAAAAAAAGGGGGCCATGGTTGTCAAGATAGAGAAACATAAATATGAGGTAAAAACATCCTTCCTCATGATTTTTCATTATGAAAGAAACTACAAATGTCTACAATGCATTAATACCTAAATACTCAGAAGAGAAATGGAAAACAATCCCCCTCCCAAATAAAAGAAAAAAGAGAAGAAAAAATAGCATCATAAACCCTCATAAAACAGATGCAAGGAAACATACTGTCAGCAGGCTCTGATAACAAATTTGCAGCATGAGCTGCAGCAGCATCCAAACCCTCTACATCATCAGGAGCATCTTCTGAAAGGTCTCCCACATCAAACCCTAATATGTATGTCATATTTTGAAGGACCGCCATCAAAGATAAAGGTTGAAGAGAGTGAGGTATAATTCATCTTGTTTCCTTCATAAGAGACTGCATCAATACAGAATTTTAAGAATATAATATACTCACAAGCAGTTGATGGAAAGCCACCAAATAAAGTTATTGGTCGAGTAGGGGCAGTTGGGCATATCCATTTAATCTGCACCATAGTATCACAAGCATGAAAAATTATGATGTCATCAAGAAGAAATAAATCTATTAAGTAATTGTTAGAATATATTCTCCTCAATATCTTTGGCTACAACAATCATCCTTACATTCGGAAGAGGGAGGGTCTCCAAGAGCTGGGACCAGCTGACAAACAAAAAAACGAGGACGAGTATATAATTAAAAAAACATCAAATACTTTTTTTTTCTTATACTTGAGATCAGAGAATATAAAGATTCGGAGACAGAATAACTTGAATTCCCAGTGGCAATAATATAGTTTATAGGGTGAAAAGATATGATGAAGGCATATTAATATCGGATGATACGAAACATTGAAACATGAGGTGGCTTGCTCTTTGAATACTAAACCACTGAAAAATCAACAGGTATTAATTTATTATCAGCTTTAACTTGTTTTGTGCAAGCCTTACAAAAAAAGTAGCAACTCAAGACAAATGCATAAAACAAATATGGATGAAAGAGGCTATTTTGCATGCAATGATTAATTCCCTACAACTTGATTAGCATCATAGAAATAGTGCTATACTACAGGAACACAAATTGCAAAGAGAAAATCAGCTTTCTGCTTAGTTTATATAGCAACATATCCCCCCCAGTATTCAGTAAATAACTATAACATCCATCGCATTAACATGCAAGATTACTAAACTAACAGAAAGGAAACACCTCAAAAATATTGAAAGGAAGATAAATATAATATCTTGAAGGTGTTTACTTTCTCACCGCGAATAATAATTCATAGAGATAGTATCATGGCCTCGTGGGGCAAAATGATTTCTTGCTTCACCCAAACAGAATGAAAAAACAAGACACAAAGATGTGAAGAACATCTTAAATTCTAGGGACTACAGTTAATGAGTGCAATCATCCAAACAAGAAAGCAAAACATAACAAGCGGAAGAAGTCGAAGAACTTTAACTAACAAAATCATAGGCAAGTTACCATTATTCTCCTTAAAAGGGCCGTTCAATTGTTGATGGAAGAGAAGAACTAGAAATTGTAACTCAACATACATAAAATCTAGCAAACAGAATATACATGATACTTCTTCCTCAGAAAACTAATTTAAGTTACTGATAGTATATAGACAAATTAATCTTAAATTTATTAACCAAAAACTAGAAATTAGAATCTTTGAAAGCAATGCAAAGTTTATAATACCTTGAACCGTTATCACCGAGGCCATGTAGCCAAAACTATGGTTGCTTGGTGCCTACCTTTGGGCCTAACCACATGGGTTTTTCCAAATTCAAATGCCCCCCTTCTACCACCTGAAATATGTCAGCGCACAGCTCAAGTATTAATAGTTAAAATTAAACACGAGGAAAAACAGGCTACTGAATTTGTAGAAAAAACTACTTCACTCGACATATTTACTAATCCACCATACATACCATGAAGAACCGGTCGATTCAATTGCCTTAAGAGCAATCAAAATACTTACACAAGCTTGTTGGTGAGCTAGCATTATAGACATTACTCTATGAGTAAGATGGATCAAAGCAGTAAACTAAGCAGAACCAAGAGGACCTGTGAAGCTCGTATTATCACACCTAAAAGCAGCGGCCAAACCTACCTATTGCACTAGAAGGAGATGGATATTAACATTTCACATCAAATGTCAGTTCAGCAAAGTGATTAATTTTCACTGCATTGATATAAGATACATGAATCTACATAAAAGCTTGCACAAAAATTGGTACATTACAAACAATTCATCAGAGAGAAAACTTTTCCATCTAATCCAAATTACATATCTTTCAAAACCCTTAATGAAAATGGAGTTTGAACTCCAAATAAACGACGGCATTCGTCGCACATAATGAAAAAGAAACAAAAACCTTAGATGAAAATTCATGGGAAACTAAGAGTATCAATAATGAGAAAATCCCAAGCTGGGAAAAGAATGAAACTTCAAAAGTTGGCAAAATGATTAGCAAATTAAACTCCAAAATTTTCATTAAAAAATTAAAATTCAAAAAGCAGAAACAGGGGAAAAGAAGAGATCAAAAAGGGAAAAGGGATTCTCGCGTTGTAGGCATTTTACCTTTTCCGCTAATATGTCGATTGGATTTGAAAACTCCCAATAGCAAAGGCTTCAGACACCAACAAAGGGGAAAATCACTCCTTTTGGTCCCAATCCGAAGGTCAAATTTTCAACGATAACTTTGTATTTTTGTCGTTTTAGGATTATTTTTTCCAAAAATGTAAATCTCGATAAATGATTATAGGCCATTTTCAATTTTGGGCAATTATCCATTTAATCATTCAGCTTTACAATTATATTTATTTTGATCACTCAACATTAAAATTTAAATATAAAAACACATTAATTTTTATATAAATGAAATGTCATAATTTCACATAAGTATCCATTACTTAAATAAATTTTTAATTTTTATTACATCTTTATTTTTAATTTGTTGATTAAATTTTAAGTTGATAGCATCATTATTATGATATTTTAAATTTTAAATAAATTTGATTCGATTGACGCCATTACTATTAGGGTAAAGTATAATAATGGTCATTGAACTTTTTTGAAGCTTTCATTTAGGTCCCTCAACTTTTAAAACTTACAATACACTCCCACAACATTTAATCTATTTACAATATGGTCCCTATTACACTGTCGTTAGAAGACGCTGACGTAGCACTGAGATCACTGTTTGCAGCTATGAAAATTAGGTTAAATTATATAAATGGTCACTGAACTTTTTAGGCACTTGCATTTAGGTCCCCCAACTTTTAAAACTTGCAAAGTAATCCTCAATTTCATTCTTAACCCCACATTCCAAAATAATTCAATTATATTCTAAACCCTAAATTCTAAAATAATCAAAATAATATCGAGTTAACCAAGATTTCATGTTAACCAAAATTCATACAATTTTTTTGATGTTTTGAATGAGTTGTATTCAGTGAAAATTGATTGTTATTGTTCGATTGAGTTCTTGTGCAATTGAATGGTGGGGTATGCTTGTGTAAATGATGCCAAGTTCAGGTGAAAATTGATTGTTACTATTATGAAAATTTATATATTTAAGTTCATGAAAAAATGTTTCACATTTAAGTCCCAACAACCAATATTTAAATAACATCAACGTTTATAATATTTTATTTAAACTCAGTACCCAATACACATGCAACACAATCTGAAAAAACAATAAGAAATTAGAACTCAATATCCAATACCATCAAACGTCATTTACACATGCATACCCTACCATTCAATTGCACATGAACTTAATCGAACGGTAACAATCAATTTTCACTGAATACAACTTAATCAAAACATCAAAAAAAATTATATAAATCTTGGTTAACATGAAATCTTGGTTAACTCAATATTATTTTGAAGTATTTTAGAATTTGAGGTTTAGAATGTAATTGAATTATTTTGGAATTTGGGGTTTATAATAAAATTGAGGGACCAAAATGCAAGCGCATGAAAAGTTTAGTGACCATTTATATAATTTACCCTAATTTTCATAGCTGCAAACGATAATCTCACTGCCACATCAGTGTCTTCTAACGGTAGTGTAACGTCGGGGACCATATTGCAAACGGACTAAATGTTGGGAGATTGTATTGCAAGTTTTAAAAGTTGGGGGACTTAAATGAAAGCTTCAGAAAAGTTCAGTGACCATTACTATACTTTATCCTTACTATTATGATATATACATACATTGCTTCGGACATTGCATAAGTGAAAAAGAGCTACCGTCCTGATAACATAGACATTGCAAATGAAGATGAAGATGAGCTGGGGATGTCGCAGCAATCCAATCCCATTGCAGCAATTTTTGGCCCCAGTTGAAGACCGGACTCCTCGCCATCTATCGACAACAAATCGACGACAATCATTTGCGTATCGGGTGGTTCCTCCACCGGCACACGCCCTTTGAGCATCTCGACCACATGTGCCATGCTAGGCCTTAGTCCCGGTTTCTCTTGTATGCACCACAAAGCTACATTAACCATTCTTTTAACTTGCCTCTCATCAACAGCTCCCACTCCAACTAGCCTACGATCAACGGCTTCTATTACTTTCCCTTCCCTAAGTTTGTCCCTCACAATCTTAGGAAAATACTGCCATTTCCTTTGGGATTTATTACTTCCATTTTCAATCACAGTAACATTCCTTTGGCCGCCAATCATCTCCAAAAGCACCATCCCATAGCTATAGACATCACATTTCTCCGAAACACCGAGCTCCAAGAGCCATTCCGGGGCCAAATAACCTTTAGTACCCCTGATTGTGGTAATAACTCGGCTCTCGTCTTTCCCCATTAGCTTTGAAAGACCGAAATCCGCCACGATCGCTCTATAGTTCTCGTCCAGAAGTATATTTTCGGGCTTCAGATCAAGGTGTAATATTTTCGACCGGCAATCGTGATGGATGTAAGAAAGTGCCTTGGCCACATCAATGGCAATCCTATACCTCAAATCGAATGACAAGCAACCTCTGGGGTGGTTTTTCGTTCGGTTTCCGGGGAATATCCAATGGTCCAATGAACCATTCGGGATGAATTCATATACAAGGTACCTAGGCCCTCTAGGAAGACAACAGTACCCTACAAGACGCACAAGGTTTACATGTTGTACACTCGCAATCGCCGCAACTTCTGATCTAAACTCCTTTTCTCCATGCTCCTCTCCATCGATTCGCTTCACCGCTATTGAAGTGCGGTCGCTAAGTATACCTTTGAATACCGAAGCCGATCCACCTTGGCCTAACAGTGCTCGGAAATTATCTGTTGCATCCTCAAGCTCCTTGAGCCTAAACTTTATTGGAACTCCGGCAACTTTTCGGAGAAAACTGTACTCAACTCGAAGCTCTCGACCTTCGGATACCAATCGTTTCTCTAACAACTTTCGCCTGCGATTGTAACACTCTCGGATCACAAGACATACGAATACTGCAAGGATTAGCGCGATATCCGCCCCTGCAATGAGGAAGAAAGCCCTGGAAAGTTTCAACGATAAACGAGCAACGATGATAACGACGATGAGGCCCGTGATTATCACAACTGCTCTTATACTTGCTGTCTTGTCCTCCATTAGAACTTCATCGATGTGCTACTAATTGTCTGGTTTTCATTTGTTGTTCATGTTGATATGAGAGCAAGAAATTGAGCATTCATTTGTTCTTTTGGATTAGCCAAATGTTGAAGCACAAGGGTATGATTATTTTAAGGCTCATTGTGTTTTTTTAAAAAGATTTTAAACGGTCAAATGTTTTGTTAAAATATTATTTGATATAAAATTTAGACTTTATTTTTAAATTTTAAAATTGTAATATTAAAATAAATAAGACTGTGTGAATTTAATATGCGTATATCAAATAATTTAATTAGAATATTTCAAAAAAATAATTAAAATAAAATTGAAAATAATGTAAAAAATGAACCACTTACAAATTCTTGCGTCAGCAAACTAAGTCAAGTTTACATATGAATAATCATATTTAGATTGCTTCTTGATTAAAGCAAAGACAAAGTCTCACTCCACTACATGAAATTTCATATTTAAGTCAGCGATATTACGTGCAACACAAGTATCATGATTTTGATAAATACATCTAAATGTAAGAATTAATTATAAACTATTTTTTAAATTTTATATTAATTGAAAATTATTGGATGAATTGTAAATAAATGTTTAAATTAAAAATATAAAAGATAAACTTTTTTAAAAAATATACATATAAATATAAAAATCGAACAACTACAACACAGAGATTTACAGAATTAACCATCAGCTGCAGGTAAGTACGAAATTCAAGAGAGTACAAGGTAAGACAGGTTTGAAGATCTTGTTTGAAACAAGAAGTTGTGAAGGAAGATCTGACCAAGTAGTCTAGATACCAAGAAGCTAATTGGCATGAAGGTATGCCAGAAGTAGCCGCGGAGAAAGAGCAAAAACATGCTGAGCACGAAAGAAAGAACACTTACCATCCTCATATCTTTAAACAGTATTTCAGATTATGGTTCTTGCTTGCTTCTTGTCATTGTCACTATCTTCCCACATAAAGCACCATTCTGAACCTTGAGTACCTTATCTTCAAGTTTTAAATTCGCGTTCTCCGCCAACAGCTGTGGTACATTACTATTCAGATTGGCATTCTTCCTTAATGAAGCATTTTCGAGCCGCAATGGATCACCCTAAAAGTAAAACAACCGAGTAAAAAAAACCTATACCATCATATGCAAGCTTTAATACGAGTTTGTATTTAAATTAGTTCTTAAACTTTTGAATATTCTAATTTCATTCTCAAACTATGACTCTAATTTTAAATTAATCCTTAAACTTTTGAAAATTTCACCCCTAACTACTGAAGACATTAAAGAGGTGGTTGACGTTCGTAAGACATAGATCATTGATTCTCTTAATTTAATTCTTTGAAACTACGTGCCCCTCTCTCTATTTTAATAGTAACTTAAATTTTTGAACATTCCAATTTCATCCCAAATCCATCCAAATATGTAATTAATTTCAACCATAATTTAGCCTAATTTTTTTCAAACATATAATAATATAACTTGGCCTATTAATTTTATTACCAAGAGATGTGATTAGTACATACGTATAGTTTGGGATGAAATTTGAATGTTTAAAAAGTTTGGAGACCAATTTAGAATGAAAGTCGTATTTTGGGGATAAAATTGAAATGTTCAAAAGTTTAAGGACTAATTTAAAATGATACTCATGATAAATTTGGAACATTTAAAAGTTTATGGACCAATTTAAAATAAGGATCATACTTTGAAGACATATGATGCAATTAACTCTAAAATACACGTATCATCATTGTAATAAAAAAATTAAGTATATTTTCTAAATAAATACTATTTTATAATTATCTTAAACTATTTAAAAAAATTAAGGCATATTTATGAGAAAATATTCATTTTAAAATTAATTATATAAATAACACCTAGTGGCAGAACTTGAAGATAGAATTTTGGGAAACTTAAAATTTTAAAAATTTAGATGTTTAAATTAAAATTTTCAAAAAATTTGAAGGGTTTAATTTACATTTTTTTTCCAAAAAAAAGGATATAACTAAATTTTTTAAAATTTTGAGATATAATACGAATTTATTAAAATTTTGAGAAGAAAAAATTAGATATTTAAAAAAATTTAAAGTTCTAAACTATATTTTCAATTTTTTTGGGAGGCCACAGCTCCCACCAGTCTCTATTATTTTCCGCCACTTATAACATCTTAAAATATTTAAGAAAATAATACTTTTTGACAAATATATATTATATAATTCATACTTTTTAAAACATGTGATTTATAGAATGCGTCTTCTTTTATATAAAAAATTTAGATAACTTATATAATATATCTTAATCAAAAGAATATCGTACAAAACACATTTTTTATGAGAAGTACATATTTTAACTCTTCTAAAATGAAATATATATTATAAAATAAATTTGTATTATTAGATGAAAATATGAATTGCCCATCTAGTTCAGTTGGTAGAGCACAAGGCTCTTAATTTTATGGTCATGGGATTGAGTCCCACTGAGGGCAATTCATAACGGAGGTCTTTCACAGAAGCTGTTCTCAACTTAGCGTTGGGGGCAACCTACTACCCTACCTCCCCCTTACTCCATTACATATGGGAATAGAGTCAGCTAATTTTTTATTAGATGAAAATATACTCTCTCAAGAGAAATAATAAATAAATAAATAAATAAATAAAAAGAGGGAATGAGAGAGATTATAGGGATGACAGGTGAACATGGATCAAGGACAGACCTATGAGTAGCTCGGACAACCCCTCAAATTTCTCCGAATAGTGTTAATTTTTTATGATTTTTTTATCTAATATGAGTGCTACCCCTAACGAAAACGGACCTGTGATCTTGTGTTACTCAGTGTTAATTTTTTCTAATTTTTTTAATTAATACAAGTGTCACCCCTAATATTGTGCGTAACTGTTGCTTTTTATTATATGAAAAAATTAATATCATATTTAAAATTAAAAAAAAAAGATCAAGCCCAAAAAATAAACCTTAAGCCCATGAATCAAGCACCTATTTTCAGTTTTATGGGAATTGAGATACGACAATTGAAGATTAGAAGGGTTGTGCCTCTGTGGAAATTGAAAACCTCAATTGAAGATTAGAAGGGCAACCGTGAACTGCCAGCAAGGGTTGTGCCACTGTGGTCTTGTGGAAACTCAACCCATCTTGGAAAGGCAAGGTCGTAAGGGCTGCCTCACTGCCTTCCTCGTGCGATTGAACTTTGAAGGGGAAGCCGACAGTAGTCGATTGAACTTTGAACTTTTGAAGGGCAATGTGCATAGTGGAAACCTCGAAGACAGCAAGTGGAATTGCAGGGGCAGACCTATGAGTAGCTCGGGCAACCCCTCAAATTTCTCCGAATAATATTAATTTTTTTTTATCTAATACGAGTGCTACCCCTAACGAAAATGGACCTGTGATCTTGTGTTACTTAGTGTTAATTTTTTCTAATTTTTTTAATTAATACAAGTGCCACCCCTAATATTGTGTGTAACTGTTGCTCTTTATTATAGGAAAAAATTAATATCCTATTTAAAATTAAAAAAAATGATCAAGCCCAAAAAACAAACCTTAAGCCCATGAATCAAGCACCTATTTTCAGTTTTGTGGGAATTGGGATACAATAATTGAAGATTAGAAGGGTTATGCCTCTGTGAAAACTGAAAATCTCAATTGAAGATTAGAAGGGCAACCGTGAACCGCCAACAAGGGTTGTGCCTCTGTGGTCTTGTGGAAACTCAACCCATCTTGGAAAGGCAAGGCCTGCCTCGTTGCATTCTTGGTGCGATTGAACTTTGAAGGGGAAGCTGACAGTAGTCGATTGAACTTTGAACTTTTGAAGGGCAAGGTGCAGAGTGAAAACCTCGAAGACATCAAGTGGAATTGTGGAAGGGGCTGTGAAAGTTGAAACTTGCAACCTGGAAAGGGACCTTTTTATCTATTCTTTCTACATTTTTCTCCAAATATACAAATGAGACAAGTATGTGTACTTTCTTTTATCTTAATTTATTCTTTACATTAATGATTTTATTATCTTTCTCACTTTGTCTTCTTTCATTCATATTTAACAATAAAGGTAGTAAACTAGTATATAATATTGTTTTGTTATTTGAAACTGATTAATTCATTAAAATTAGGTTTTGTTTAGTTTGATGTATTAAAATTAGGATATTAAAGTAAAGTAGTAAGTCATAGTTTATAATTATTATATGTTGAGTTTTTAATATATTAATCATTTTATTTATTGAAATATTTAATTGTAGGTTTCTATTGGTAACTATTTTAAAAGGAAATTAATTGTTGGTACTGATGGAAGTAGTGAAGGATCTTCTAAAAGAAATAGCTCAAATGAAGTTCCACAAAGACCACAACCTACTACCACTGTGTCACCTACTCCCTTGGCTTCCATTCCAACAACTATTAATGTGAATGATCTTCCTTCGGATCCGGCGGATAGACCAAAAATTACATCTTATCATCCAAATCAAAAAGATGAAATAAGAATGGCATATTGGATTAAAGGACCATGTCAACCAAGGGGTCATACTTTTCCATAAAAAAAAGATAGGTCCTAAGCTAAGACGCTTTGTCGTTGAATGGTTTGATGAATTTGATTGGTTAGAGCATAGCATAAAGGAGGACAAAGTTTATTGTTTATGTTGCTACTTATTTGGAGATATTGTAGGACAACAAGGTGGGAGAGATGCATTTGTGACGGAAGGATTTAGCACTTGGAGTAAAAAGAAATCGTTATATGCTCATGTAGGTAATGTTGAAAGTTTACACAACAAAGCACGACAAAAGTGTGAAAATCTAGTGAAAAAAATCAATCTATTAGTGTTGCTCTTCATAAGCAAACTGAACATGAGAAGAATAACTATGAAATTCAATTACGTGCTACAACTGCCACTTGTAGATTTTTATTGAAAAATATGTTACTGTTTCGTGGTCATGATGAGTCGAATGACTCCATTTCCAGAGGGATTTTCATTGAAACATTATCTTTGATTAGAGAACACAATGAGAGTATTTATAATGTTACCTTAGAAAAGGCTCCGAAGAACAATAAATTGACATCTCCAAATATTCAAAAAGATATTGTTGAATGTTTTTCAAAAGAAATAATAAAGTCCATTTGTGATGAAATTGGTAAGGATGTGTTTGCCATATTAGTTGACGAGTCTAGTGATGTATCTAAAAAGGAGCAAATGACTATGGTTTTGAGATATGTTGATAGACTAGAAGTTGTTAAGGAGAGATTTATTGGAGTTGTTCACGTGACGGATACATCTTCTTTGACTCTTCAAGCTGCCATTGATTCCGTATTTACTGACAATAAATTAAGCATGGCTCAGGTAATATGTCATATTTATTTTATTTATATTTTAATTATTTAATTGAATCTTTATTTTTATATATTAAATCTTTTATCTATTATTTGAAATAGGTAAGAGGGCAAGGTTATGATGGAGCAAGTAATATGTGTGGTGAGTTTAACGGTTTGAAAGCGTTGATCTTAAGAGATAATAAGTCAACATATTATGTACATAGTTTTGCTCACCAACTTCAATTAGTGATCGTGGCGGTTGCAAAGAATCATGATGGTGCTCATGAATTCTTTGAGCAACTAGCTTTGGTGGTTAATGTGGTTTGTGTTTCCTACAAAAGAAAGGATATCATACGAGAGAGCTACAAAAAGAGATTGCAAACGGAAATTGGTACTGGTGAAACTGAAGCTGGAAGAGGGTTGAATCAAGAGCTTTCTCTAATTCAAGCAAGAGATACAAGATGGGGTTCCCATTATAAAACAATCATAAGTTTGATGAATTTGTTTCCTGAAGTTATTGAGGTGCTTAAATATGTTGAAGAGGACAACTCAACTTTATATAACCGAAATAAAGTGTACAATATTTTATCATATTTTAAAACACTTGATTATGTGTTTTATTTACACTTGATGTTGGAGATTTTAGGTCTCACGGATACCTTGTCAAGACATCTTCAAAGAAAAGATCAAGATATTTTGGAAGCGGCTTCATTGATAAGAGGAACAAAGAAATCATTGCAAACTTTAAGAAATGACGGGTTTGGTTCAATTTTAAAGAAAGTATATTCTTTATGTAAAAAACATAGCATTGAAACTTTGGATATGTCAGAATATTATGTTACTCTAAGAAACCATAGGACCAAGATTTCTAATCAGTATCATTTTGAGGTTGAGATTTTTAACACGGTTTTGGATATGCAAATTCAAGAATTCGGGGATCGATTTAGTGAGGTAAGCACCAAATTGCTAGAAAACATGGCTGCTTTGAGTCCTTGTGATTCATTTTCTAAGTTTGATAAATCAAAGTTGCTGAAGTTATGTACCCAGATGATTTTAGTGATTCAGAAAGGACATATCTTCTTGGTCAACTTGATATCTACTATCGCTATTTGCTACATGATGACAGATTTGCTAACTTGAATGGAATTGCCAACCTTTCTCGCTTGATGGTGGAAACAGGGAAACATTGTTCTTTTCCTTTGGTCTATAGGTTATTAAAGTTAGTTTTGGTTCTGCCGGTTGCAACTGCAACGGTTGAAAGATGTTTTTCTGCAATGAAGCTTTTAAAGACGAACGTGCGCAACAAAATGAGTGACAATTTTATGAATCATGTCCTGATTTACGCAATAGAAAAAGAAGCACTTTTAGATGTTAAGATTGAAAGTGTAATCAATCGCTTTCAAAAAATGAAAACACAAAAAGGTCAACTTTAGAGTGTAATTTCTAGACATTTTATTATATTTATAGATATCGTAGTTTCTAAAAAAAATTATAAAAGTTTTTTGTGCAACCCTTGAATTTTTATCCTGGGTCCGCCTCTTACGGGATGGAAGACATTGTTGATTCCGTGGGCTCAAAAGCAAGCAACAATAGAAGAAAGTGATAGGAACAAGGTTGTTACAACGTATGAACTGCAATAACTTTAATAAAATAATAAAAAACGTGTTTTTTTATATTTTATTCTAATTTTTAATTTTTTTATTTGTTAGTTAACCAACGTTTTATTATATTATCATTATTTATAATTTAACCTTAAACGAAAATTATAAATATATATTAACATTTCTCGCCTCACAACCTTCGAAGGATTAAAATATTTTTAAATCCCGACAATTAGGGACTCAGAGAGCAAAAGAATAACGGTTGTGGAAGAAGGATCTCAAATATATAAAAAATAATCTTTTAAAAAGTTGTGATTAATAAATATAATCTCTGATAAATCTATATAAGCTATCATATTAAAATTTGTCACGTTGATTGTATTTATTATGTTTGTTAATTTATAGATAATTATCGTGATTCTAACACAGCACACATGGTAAAGACTACAATAAAATTTTTCGAATAAGATTAAAAGAAGGGATGCAAATTAAATGAAACCATCACACTCTTATTCGTTTCTATTGTATCTCCTTATCGAGGCTAAGTACTTTGACATCGGTTAATGGGTGATCCATCACCGACAATGATTTTTCACTTAAATTAGAAATGATGAATTATCTAAAACCACAACTCATTTGATTTAATCAATAAGAACGATTTTTTCAATTTAGTTTATTCTATTAATAATATCGTGATTTGAACCATGAACATTAAATTTAAAATAATTGATAAAAAAATAAATTATAAATAATTATAAAATATCTAAAAACAATTTTATTTATATTTTATTATTAGATTATTTTAAATAAACCTTAAACTATAAAAATCAAATATGAACATCTTAATCAGTGTGGGATTTGTTTTTAACATGTGGCCATTTTATAAATAGTACATATTTTATATATAGTATACACACATAAAAGCGTTTACAGGGCAGATCCGGTCAACTCTTTTAAATTATTTAATAAAGTTCGATCCTAAGATTTATTTACATATTTAAAATAATTTAATAATAAAACATAAATAATTATTTTACTATTAAAATTTTTTGAATATAAATAATAGTTGTATTTCTTTTTTCTTTATATTGTTCTTTCGTCAGATCCAACGAGATATTAATAAAACAACTTATTATCTTGTCGTGTAAATTTATCTCAAACTATCTATTTTAAATTTAAAAATTATTATTCGTATGAAAATAGTGAAAGATTTTATCTGTTCGGGTATCATGTTCCCTACACCACTCTTTTATTAGAGTTTGATTTGACATTAAATTTCTAGTTGGTTTTTATTTAATTATTTAGATTTTTAATCGTTTAATAATAAAAATTCAAACACCTTTAAAAATATCGTATTTGAATTGAAACTTTTGAAGATGACAATCATCCCTTAACCAAGAAGATCACTTGATTCGCCCTTGCTGGCATACTTTTGTCTTAATCCATTGGATCGGTTCTATTTTATTGACATATATTCGTAATTACTAAGCATATGTCGCGATTGAGTTCTAGTTAAAGTCAATTTATTAATGTATCGTCATTATTATATGTATTTTCACAGTAGCTTTGATGATGTTTATCTTCATAGTCAATAATGGTGTTAACCTATTTTATCATTATTTTACAAGTTGATTAATTAGTTTTTAACTATTTATTAGGTCTTAAATCATCATTTAGCGGTTAATTTGTGTATTTTAATAATTTAAGGTGAATGAACGATTAATGTGATTTAATCTGCTTTCATTTTGTATATTATCTTTTATATTCCTTTTATTATTTTTCTTTATTCAATAGAATAACTCCTAATCGTTTATTTGATTATTAATTATTAATAGATTTACAAATATAAGTGCAAATACAAATACAATTATAACAATTGCAAATACAACAATATAAATTTGAGTAATTAATTATTATAAATTAAAATCAAACTAATAACTGGAATATATCACAATAAAATCAAGTTATAATATGATTTAAATTAAAATAAAATCTAGACTAATTTTCCACCTAATTTTAAATTACACACATATATATTATATAATGATTAACTAATTTCAATAGTGCAATTCACGCAATTGGTTGGTTTACTCCATACCTAAACATCTAAACTTTCTTGAAGGAATAGACTTTATAAAATAAAATAAAATAAAATAAAACAAAAAGCTCCCACACAAACAATATAATTAAATTAAAAATATTCTATAAAAAATTAACTACTTCAATGAAAGCTGATTCACCGGTTCTAAATATAAAATATATAAATTATAAATTTATTTAATATTTATGTTTTTTCAAATTTTTTGGGTCATACTTATCTCATTTAAAATTTTAGATTTATTTATTATTAATTAATCTTCAGATTGATTTTCTCATGTTGATATGTGCTTATAATTATCTTAAACAGTTATTAATTTATAATTTTTTTATGATTTTGGTAAAATAATGTGATTATTTAAAAAAACCAATGAGAAAATAAAAGAGAGGAGAGAGAGGGGGCAGAAAAAGATTAAAACAGATAATCGCAACCACAAGAAGCTATTCTTAGGCAGTTAGCAACTTGGCATAGAAAGCTTACCATAATATTCCTTGTTTATTATACTCAATTTTCCATTATTCTTTCCTCTTCTCCCTTCTATTAAAAACATAATAAAAACATAATCTTTAAACGCCTTATATACTAATTTCTCCCCAATCAGAAAATCAAAAATTCATAACAACAAATTAATTTCTTAAAGCACCGAGAAACAAAAATCAGAACTTCTCCCTTCAATCCTCCATCAAAGGTTAGCTAAGCTCTTCATCAAATTGATGATTTTAAGTATTTGTTTTATTTTTTTTATTGTATAGTTCTGATTATTTAGATTATGGACAAGTTTAATTTTTGTTGCTTTACGACTCTCTTGTCTTTTTTTTTTTTTTATGTATTTGTTGTTAATTTTTTCTTCTGTTTGGCTACTGAGAAATGGTGGATACATAGACAGAAAGGGAGAAAGACGATTAAATGTGTGTTTGTTATTTTTTTTTTATTGTTTTAAGTTTTGTTTTTTAAGGTAGAAAGAGTTTGAACTTCGTAGATCACTTTAAAGTTCTCCTGAAACTTCTGATTTATTCTTTTTTCTTGCATTTTCTTGCGTACCAAACGGACCTGACTGTTTTGTTTTGTTTATTTACTTTAAACTAATTTACAAGAATGAATAACGGTTGCATTAGATCATTTCATTGTTATTTTCGATTAAAATGCTCTATTTGTTACTTTTTATGATTAAATCTTATTTTTAGTTTAATTCCTGTAATCCTAATTCAAAGTTTTGATCTTATTTCCCCTCAACTGTTCCTTTGTTATAATTTTTTTCTAGAGGATGCTTGGATATTCTGACTGTATTCGTATGCTATATTTAGTGTTTAATTTGTTTTACGAATTTATCATCTCATTTGTCAACGTCTTTTGCAGTTTAATAGGGATCATGAGATTCAAGAAAGGGTCCAGAGTAGAAGTCTTGAGCAGAAAAGAGGTGCCATCAGGATCCTGGCATTGTGCTGAAATAATCAGTGGCAATGGCCACAACTACAAAGTTAGATATGAAGGCTCTTCCGATGCCACTAACAAGGCAATTGTGGAGATGGTATCTAGGAAAGCCATTAGACCTTGTCCTCCTGCACCAGCAGTTTCAGATAATTGGGTTCCTGGTGATGTTGTTGAGGTTTTTGACAACTTTTCTTGGAAGATGGCAACGTTTTTAGCGATTTTGGAAAAAAAATGCATTTTGGTTAGGTTGCTTGGATCATCTCTGGAGTTTAAGGTCAGTAAATTTGACGTCCGTGTGAGACAATCATGGCAAGACAATGAATGGGTTGTGATTGGAAAGGTACTTACTATCTTAATGTATGTTCCTCGTGCATTTGAAAATTTTAAGTTTTCAAAGCTATTTTCAGCATTAACTTTTTCCAGTCGGATATATGTTATTCAAGGTTAATTTTTATACTCGTGTCCATCTTAAGTTCATTTCCATCCGCATTTCACATTTTTTGTAAGTTGAGGTTAGCTTGAATATTCTCATTTGTTTAATCTAAATGGCATTGCTTCGTTCGGACAGTAACCCTTCTTGATCTAAGTACTATCTATATTTTCTATAAAGTTGAGGTTATTGTTCCACAAGCCAAGATATTCATTTATATTTTTTATGTCTACATGCAGGGTTCTGGCAGTTGTGAAGATGTGAAACATGGTGAAAATTCCATTCTCAGATACAACCAAAAGTCTAGCTCCCGGTTTCAAAATACTGTTAGAAGGACAAACAGGCATGTGAAAGATGAATGTGGCCCTGTTAATACAAAGGTTAATTACCAAAATTCTGTTATGGCTTCCTCAAAATCTCTAAAGAGAGGATGCTACTCTCAGGTTGAAGCTCATGCCACTGCTGGACAGAAGTTGAGAGCAGTTGAGAGAAATGAAAGATTGTACCGACTGGTGGTTGCAAATCCATCCATTCTTGAACAGGTAGATGCTGCTGCTTTCCCAAGAGATATGTTGGGTGAGAATAATGTACATGCTTCTCATAATGACAGAACTGGGTTGTCTGACGTGCATGGAGACACGGGAAAACCAAATGGTTCTGTTGGATGTTATTTTGCTGAGCATTTAGAAACGAATGACGCTGATAGTGTTACATGCTCTGTTGGTAGTTGTAGTGTGAGTAGTAACGATTTCTATAGGTTACCTCATTGTGTTTCCGCAGGTCCTATTGAAGTTGTTGATGGTGAATGTAGTGATGCTGAATCTTTTTGTCCAAGGGGAGATAAGGAAGGAGATTGTCTCCTTCCGGTGAAAGAAGAACTGGCTGCCAAGATCCATAAGATAGAGTTACATGCCTATCGTTGCACTTTGGAGGCCTTGCATGCATCAGGGCCTTTAAGTTGGGAACAAGAAAGTTTGGTGACAAATCTTCGTCTTTCACTTCATATATCTAATGATGAACATTTGATGGAGATAAGAAACTTAATTTCCGCTGATAGTACCATTCCTATAAGATAACAAGGAGTACCTGTGGTTTTCCTTTAGAAATAGACTTCGACAAATAATTACACTGGTGGCTCCCTCAATTGTATGAAGCTTGATGAAATATGCTCTCACTTTTCCTCGTTAAGTATACAGCATATAGTGATATATTTTGAAATGAATGTAACAACAGAAACTGCAGAGCATTAAATGTTTGTGAGCTAAGCATTGTGTATCAGTTCTTCCATCTCTTCTTGCCTCCCTCATTTGTACATTTATTTTAGCAAAACAAATCTTTGAGAAATAGCATATCAGGAATTTTCCAACAATTGAGCAGATATCAAGAATGCATTTTTCTGATTGTTCTCTTCTGTATATTTCTTGCTTCTCTTAGATGCACTATTGATGTATGACTAATCTTCTGTTGACATTTTGATTCTTGTTTATTAAAAAAGGGTTACTGTATAATAAAATCCCACTGGTTGTCTCTGATCAAGTGTTTGTTTTTGTGTTTTTCTTGATATTTGATTAATATTAAGGAAATGTGTGTCAAGCTTTCAATTTGTTTTGAATTTTCTCAGGGTATAATACTCTGTTTAAAGCATAATCATTCTCAGATTGAGGAAAATATTGATGCTTCCTCCTGTATTTTCCAGGGCTGAAGAGGGAAGCTTAGACACCTTCCTTCCAAATGCCTGAACTCTGAAGATGATTTCTGGGTTTGGCGCCTTTCTCTTGCTTTTCAACAGTGGGGCAGTTCTTGATGGGGAAGTTATTTTGAGGCACTAATTTTCATTAGTCTGTCACTTGTTTGATTAATCTTTTTCAAATCTCATGTGAGCCCTAGATATCTGTGTTCCTGAAGGGTGTAAGACCAGAATCTTGTGGCTGTCATGGGATGACCTGATATCTGAAATTCTCCAAAAGTTTTTCATTTATACCTTTATATAAGCTTATGTGTGATATTCTGCTGGGCCATGCATGTTTAACTTTGTTTGCTGTAGTGAAAAGTAATCATGCTGAGATCTTTACCAATTTCCCACCTGAAAACTAATTTTAATCTGTCTTCACACCTCGATCAATGCAGCACCATTTCTGGTCTTGTTACTCTAGCATGCCAACTGAAGTTGAACACAACTTCAATTTATCTGTAGTCACCGTCTTTGTTAACATATCTGCCGGATTTTGAGCTCCACTAATCTTTTCAAGTTTCAAAATCCCATATTCCAGAAGAGACCGGATAAAATGATATCGCAATTGTATGTGCTTCGTCCTGGAATGAAAAGACGGATTCTTCGCTAGATGAATAGCACTTTGACTATCGCAATACAAGACATTGTTTTCTTGTTTCTTGCCTAAATCTTCCAAGAAACTTTGGAGCCAAACCATCTCCTTGCTGGCTTCCGTAACAGTGATATATTCTGCTTCAGTTGTGGAGAGAGTAACTATCTTCTGTAGATGAGAAACCCAACTCACTGTAGTACCTCCTAGAGTATAGACATACCATGTAGTGCTTCTTCTGATATAAACATTTTCGGCTAAGTCAGCATCTACATAGTCTGTCAGTATCGTATCTCTACCTTTGAAACAAAGTGTTTTGTTTGTGGTACCCCACAAATATCTGAGGATCCATTTGACTGCTTCCCAATGTACCTTATCCGGATTATTCATGTACCTGCTAACAACTCCCACTGCATGAACAATAGCTGGTCTAGTACAAACCATGACATACATCAGACTTCTAATTGGTGAGATATACGGCACCTTCGACACATTCACCATGTGTGCACGTTTTTCCTCCGTCTTTGGTGACTGTTCTTTAGAGAGTCTAAAATGAACACCTAAAGGTGTACTTACTGGTTTAACATCTTGCATGTTGAACCTGAAGAGTACTTTGTTGATGTACTCAGCCTGTGATAACATCAAAGTCCCCGACTTTGTGTCTCTCTTAATCCTTATCCCAATAATCTGCTTTGCAGCGCTCAAATCCTTCATAGCAAACTGCTTCGACAATTTTTGCTTCAAGTTTATAATCTCTTGCATGTCTGAGCCTGCAACGAGCATGCCATCAACATACAACAATAAAATAACGAAACTGTTGTCGAACTTCTTGATGTAGCAACAATGATCTGCTTGGCATCTGGTAAAACTATTGCTACCCATGAAGCTATCGAACTTCTTGTACCACTATCTAGGAGCTTGTTTTAAACCATACAAGCTCTTCTTCAACCTGCATACCAGGTTTTTCTTGTCTGCCTCTATAAAACCTTCTGGTTGCCTCATATAGATTTCTTCTTCCAAATCACCATAAAAGAAAGCTGTCTTTACATCTAACTGCTCAAGATGTAGATTCTCTGCAGCTATAATTTTCAACACCAGTCTGATTGTAGACAATTTCACGATTGGGGGAGAGAATTTCATTATAGTAAATACATTCTTTTTGTTGAAAACCTTTGACAACCAATCTTGTTTTGTAGTGTTTGCTCTCATCGTGCTCTTCTTTGATTATGTAAATCCATTTGTTATGTAGTGCTTTATTGTCTAGTGGTAATTCAGCTAATTTCCACGTCTGATTTGACATAAGCGAGTCCATCTCATCTTTCATGGAAGACTCCCACTTGACTAAATCCTCCACCTGCATCGCTTCATCATAGCACTCTGGTTCACCATTGTCAGTCAACAACAAGTAGTGCAAAGAAGGTGAATAACGCTGAGTTGGTTTAGACATTCTGGATGAGCGTCTCAGTTCTGGTGTGCCTGGTTCTTCTTGAACTGCTTCAGGATTTATCTGAACATCATTTCCAGAAATCTCATCGAACTCAGCAAATTCCTTTATTTCAGCTTCGGTATTGGAGCTACTTGATTCTATGGTTGAAATGTCTTTGTACATCACATTCTCATTGAAAATGACATCTCTGCTTCTGATGATCTTTCGATTTTTGTAGTCCCAAAACCAATAACCGAACTCATCACCACCATAACCAATAAAGACACATTTGTTGGATTTGACATCAAGTTTACTTCTTTAAGCATAATTTATGTGTACATAAGAAATACAACCCAAACACTCTTAAGTGTGAAAGGTTTATTTCTTTTCTACTCCAAACTTCCTCTGGTATTCTGTCATCCAAGGGAACTGAGGGCCCACGGTTGATCAGGTAAGCTGCAGTGTTGATAACTTCAGCCCATAGTAATTTGGGCAAGCCGACATGTATCCTCATGCTTCTGGCACGTTCATTCAGAGTTCTGTTTATGCACTCTGCTACGCCATTATGTTGCGGTGTCATCGGAACGGTTGTCTCCATCTTGATCTCATTGTTTGCGCAGAAATCTTTGAATCAACTATTTCTGTACTTTCCTCTATTGTCAGACCTCAATCGCTTGACTTTCAAACTAGTCTCATTTTCCACCATGACCTTCCATTTTTCTGAAGGTATCAAAAACTTCTGATTTCTTCTTCAGAAAATAAACCCACACCTTCCTTGTAGAATCATCGATGAAGGTGACATAATATATTGAGCCTGCATGAAATGGAACTGGAGATGGTCCTCATACATCAATATGAACCAACTCTAACTTTTCTGGCTTGAGTGTCTTGCCAATCTTTGCAAAACTGACTTTCTTTTGTTTGCCAAAGATGCAATCTTCACATAGTCCGACATTTACACTCTTTAAATCCGATAACTTCCCTTTTTGACAAAAGTGTCTTCATCCCTTTCTCGCTCATATGGCCAAGCCTTTGGTGCCATAGGTTTGATTTTCCATCAGCATCTGCTACTGCAATGATATTCTCTAAATTTGAGGTTACATAGAGAGTACCAGTCTTCTTACCACGAGCAATGACGAGTGCTCCTTTGATAATCTTCCATTCACAGCCTGAAAATGTTGTACTATATCCTTCTCCATCAAGCTGTCCTACAGAAATCAAATTTATTTTGAGGCCAGGAATATGCCTTACTCCTTTCAGCTTCCAGATGGTCTGGTTTGACAACTTTAATCGGATGTCTCATTTTTCGACGATATTCAAGGTTTCATCATCTGCTAGATGAATCTTCCCAAAATCACCACTAACATAGTTCTCCATGATTTCTTGGCATGGGGTGGAGTGGAAAGATGCCCATGAATCCAAGATCCATGATTTAATCGGACTGTTGAAGCTTAGAATCACGACATCACTTGTGCGCCAGCATCTTTCTTCAGTGCTCATCAATCTCTTTTAAAGTGACCATTCTTGCCACAATTATAACATGTAAAATCTTTCTTTCCCGTTCTTGATTTTCCCGTTCTGGATTTCGATCTGCCACGATTTGAATTTCTTTCTGAAGTTTTCCCTCTGGACTCCGTGTGTGAGGCTGAGGAGCTTGATGCTTCACCCGATTCTCTCTGTCAAATTTCTTCACTCAATACCAGATCCCGAATATCGTCGAATTTTAATTTGTTGTTTCCCAAAGAGCTGCTGACTGTTGTAACAGTAGCATTTCAACTGTCTGGTAGAGATGATAAGATAATTAAAGCTCGAACTTCATCATCAAATTCAATTTCCACGGAACTCAACTGGGTTGTGATTGTGTTGAGTTCATTCAGGTGTTGAGCCACTGATGCCCCTTCCGTCATCCGCAAATTAAATAATCGTCTCATCAAGTGAACTTTGTTTGAGGCTGATGGCTTCTCATACATACTGGAGAGAGCCGCCATAAGACCCGCCTTGGTCTTTTCCTTTGCTATGTTGAAAGTAACATTTCGGGACAACGTCAGTCGGATAACTCCGAGGGCTTGTCTGTCGAGAAGAGCCACTCTTCATTTTTCATGCCCTCTGGTTGCTTTCCTGAGAGAGGTTGATATAGATTTTTCTGGTACAGAAAATCTTCAATTTGCATCTTCCAAAAGCCAAAATCCGCACCATCGAACTTCTAAATTTTCACATTCCCTTCATCTACAGTCATCGCTCCCACTCGAATCTGGCCTTGTTTGGATCGTTTCTGACAATTTCTGCGAACCACCGTGTATTAGAACACCTCCGTCGACAAATTCATATCACCGACAAAATTTTACTATTCACGAAATTCACTATTCAAGTGAATAGTAATGAATAGTAACCTTGCAGAAAAACCGACAAAATTTACCACCAAAAGTTCTGATGCCAGTTGTTGGAAAATAAACAAGTAATTTCCCTATAATCAGATTAGTGAGAATGCGAAATAAAAGCGAAAAAATAATACCCGAAATTGATAACGGAGTTCAACCAATTTTTCCTACGTCTCCGGACTGCTGCAAATCTTTTACTAAAGAGAGAAAATTTACAGGTGTTTACAAAACACTCACAACTCAC